CTTAGAAACGGGGCTCAGACTCTGGAAGGGGACTTCCGCTGGGCCCCTGGCTATCGAATAAACCTGCCTTTCCTTCAGTTCTCTGAATGCTGCTCTCTTCCTTGGTCTGCTGCCTCCGAGTGCCACTTCCCTGCCAAGTGCCATCAACCAAAAGGCAGGCTTGTCCAAACCTGATAGTGTGTCTGCAGCCACCCTATTCATCAGATTTGGCAGTGTGCGACTTCTGGCTCTTCCCCAAACCCAAAATAACTAGGACAGGGAAATGTTTTTAATGAATTCAGGACATTGAGGCAGTCACAACAGTGCAACTAAAAACACAGAGGAGGACTCCCAGAAGTGCTTCAGAAGGTGGCAAAAGTGGGCCATGTGGGGGGATGCACGCCTGTAATCCTGGCACTTGGGAGGCTGAGGCAGGAGGATCACCAAGAGTTCAAAGCCAGCCTGGGCTCCATAGTAAGTTCAAGGACAATTTGAACTACATAGCAAGACCCTGTCTCAAAAAGCAAAAGAAAAGTGGCAAAAATGATCAGGTAAATGTGCTCAAAGCAAGGGGGAATATTTTCAGTTTTCGTTTTGTTTTAGACACAGGGTCTTGCTAGTATAGATTAGCCTGGCCCCAAACTTATGGCGATCTTCCCGCCTTATCCTGAGTGCTGGGATTATAGGCCTGCACCACTACTCCCACTTTTAATTCCCTTTTAATTTTTATCAATATGATCTGAAAATTGGTGATTTACATTTGCACTTGTTTGGCTGGTTGGCTTTTGTCTGAGACAGGGTCTTACTGTGTAGCCCATGCGGCCCTGGGCCCCATAGTCATCCTCCTGCCTCAATGCTCCCACCCACCCCAGTGCCACCAGGCACACCTACATTTGTGTCTGTGCATGAAGAACACAACAGGTTGTCTTGGATGCCAGCTAGCTTTGGATTTGCCTTTCTGTGACTTGCCTTTGTTTATCTTTTGCCCATTTGGGGAGTACAACAAGGGAAACATAAGAGAGCTTTATTTTTTGTTGATGTCTCCAGTGTTTCACTTTTGTTATCTCCAACATGCTGATAGTTCATCACGGAGGGAAATTAAATGGGAGGGGAAAAAAGTCTTCCACAACTTCTCATATCCTTCAGGGCAAATTCTGGGCTCTGCAAATTCCAGGCACTTTATGACTATAGATTTTTGGAGACAGGATCTGGCTATGTAGCCCAGGCTGGCTTTGAACTTGCAATCCTCCTGCCTCAACTTCTCAAGTGCCTGGCTCTGATCAGAGAATTTTTGGTTCTGGTGGTTTTATATTAATAGTTAAGTCAAAAAACCCAAAAACAAAAAAACCCCCCACCATTTTATGGTTTGTGTCTAGATGACCCAGGGGTTTTTCAGAGGTGGCTAAATCTAGTGTGTGATGCTGGGATTAAAGATAAGTGATCGGTTTGGCCCTAATCCCCAGTAGTCTGGATAACATAAAAAGGGCAGAAAGACGCTGTTAAGACCTTGTTGCTTTTGCTGTCTTCCACTTCCAGGAACTGTTGCCCCTCTGCCATGTGCCACCCAGCCTTGGAGTGAGCCGATTATGGACTGAAACCTCTACAAACTGTGAGGCAAATAAACCTTTCCCCCTTTAACTCTGGGTGTTGGGTATTTGTCTCAGAAACAAGAGAAAAGCAACTGAGATATACTAGCTCTTGGTCTTAAGCAAAATTAGCCCCTTTGCATGTGCTAAATTCAGGGCAGTAACAATAATTCCTCATTGAAATTGATGATTTAAAGTTTAAAAAAAGCTGGGCATGGTGGTGCATGCCTGTAATCATCAGCACTTGGGAGCTTGAGGCAGGAGGATCACCTCAAGCTCAAGGCCAGTGTGGGTTATGTAGTGAATTCAGGGCCAGCCTGAACCACATGGCACGAGACCGTCTCCAAACACCAAAAATAAATAAACAATTTTTTAAAAAAGCCCAGCACATGGCACAGGAAGTATTGTAACTCCAGGGATTACAATGCTGGTGATCAGGCCCCAACCTCAGCCTTCCTCCCAGCCCAGTCATGGGACCCGGCCCTTCTCTGCAGAGCCCCCTGCAGCCCCCCAGCTCCTCCCCTGTCAAGGCAGTGGCTGGGGATGCAGTGGCTGCCACAGCCCCACCAGGATCAGGGGTGGGGTGGGGTGGCCATCACTTTCCTTCCACACACTATGAAGATACTAATATGACCCAGGTGTGGCAGCATGTGCGTTAGTCCACTGCTCAGGAGGCTGAGGCAAGAGGATCACTTGAATCCAGAAGTTTCAGACCAGCCTGGGCAACGAAGTGTGGCCTCACCTCAAAAAGAAAAATTAACTATGAGCCATCCACATATTGCCAACTGTACCTGTTAGCAAAAGTGGTCTGGGCAAGCTGCAGAAGTGTGTACAGTGTGCTACAATTTGAGTAAAAAAAGATCATAAATGTAGGTATGATTTAAAATACGAAGATGAAGATGGTACGGAAAAGAATTTTAAGTTTCAAGTTTAAAAAGTCAACCTTGATCAAAACATATAGTTTAGTAAGTTTTTTTGGGGGGGTACCGGGGCTCAAACTCGGGTCCTTAAGCTTTTGAGGCAGGTGGCAGAAGCACTGAGCTAAATCCCCAGCCCTTAAAACATTATGGTTTAAACCACTGATTCATTCAGCAATGTACTGAGGGCTTGCCTCATGCTGGGAATGGTTCTTGGACTGGGATACTGCTCGAAACCGGGAACCCAAAGGAACCGGAAACAGCTGTCCTGAGGTGGGAAGAACCAAGTGCCATCACCTGGAAACAGGTGAGGGAAACTCGGCTGCCACCACAGCAGAAGCCGCAGCCACACAAAGGAGAGGTACCTCGAGGCTATGCTGTGCAGTGCAGCCAGTACCCAGGTGTGAATCCCTGACCCATGGAAGCCGCTCCAGAAAGATCTGAGGCTGGATGGCGCTGGGAATGGGAGTGGCTGCAAACAGAGGCAAGAGGGAGCTTTTGGGCATAACAGAAACCTAAAATTACACTGTAGTGACAATTGCATGACCCTGGGATCTAAAAATCAGTGAATTGTGCACTTAAAACTAGTGATCCTTGGGCCAGGGATTTAGCTCAGTGGTTTCGTCGCAAGGACCCGAGTTCGATCCCTGGTACCAAAAAAAAAAAAAAACTAGTGATCTTTATCATGTCCATCTCAAAGCTATTTTAAAAAGCAGCATGTCTGGCCAGACCAGGTGGTGCGTACCTGTCATCCCTGCACTCAACAGGCTGAGGCAGGAGGATTGCCACAAGTTTGAAGCCAGCCTGGGCTACATAGTGAGCTCAAGCCTATTCTGAACTACACAGTGAAAACCTGTCTCAAAAAAAAAAAAAGCGACTTGCCTGTCCCCACGAAGCTTACTTACACTCTAGCTAAACAATGAAAAGAATAAGATAAGCCAGGCACACCAGTATCCCTTGGAGGCTGAGGCAGGAGGATTGCAAATTCTTGGCCAGCTTGGCCTACATAGTGAGACTTTATCACACACACAAAAACATCCCCCTCAAAAAAACAAAAAAAGGGCCAGGGATTTAGCTCAGTGGTTCTGCCGCCTGCCTTGCAAGCGCAAGGTCTAGAGTTTGATCCCTGGTACCAAAAAAAAAAAAAAAAAAGATGTAGAGCATGTTAGTGATGAGCGGTAAGGCCAATCGAGGGGATGTGTGGGAAGAACATTAAATTTTAACTCTAGGTCACCATGGAAGGTCTCCCTGAGCAGCCCGAAGTGAGGGACAAGTCCCTGTGGCTGTCCAGGGTACAGCACTGTCCCAGTAGCCAGGCAAAGCCAAAGAATGAGTGTGGTGACTGCTGAGCATGAAAAGGACAGAGGTTAATAAAGAACCTGCAGCACAGGGCTTGGCTTCTGCTCGGAGCCCGAAACTGCTGAGCATTCAGAACAGCGACACAGTTTGATTTCTCACTGAACCTCAGCGCCCTGCTGCTGGAAAAGGTGTGGGCAGAGGCGGAAGGAAGGGTCAGGAAGCCACTGAGGCGGTCCCAGTGGCCAGGTGACCCTCACAGCTTTGCCAGTGCTGGCAGTGAAGCCGGGCGCAGAGGCCCAATGCTGGCTCTGTGGCACTTTGGGAGCAGCACCCACAGGACCCGGTGGCCGGGGGGCCAGGGGACCCCTTGCCAATGGTTTCATCTGGTCCCGTGGTCCTGCGGATGGAACCAGGCCCCATGCACACAAAGCCAGTGTTCCCCGAGCTGCATCCAGGGTCTGGTGAAGCTGCCCCGGCCGGCCAGGGACACAATCTTTCAGTAGTGCAGGTGCTGAGGCTTCCGAGGGTTCTGCAGTGAGGAGAAAGGCTGGGAGCCATGCAGGCCGCGTCAGCCAATAAATGTGCAGGAAGTCGAGATTCTATTGAGGTCATTTACTGAATAGGGTGAGAAAGAAAGGAGAAACCGAGGTGGAAAAAACCTAAACAACCAGAGGAAGAGACTTTCAGCCTCAGAATTTTTTCTATAAAAATGTGTTACATTAACAAAATCTGTGAGACAAAATAAAACTACATGTTAAGATAGACACAAAATATTAGAATATTAGTACTGTTCGGGGAATCTCTCAGGACAAAGACAATAATTTGCTTTATAAATGTACATTTGTACTGGGCGTTTTGTTTTGTTTTGTTCCTTGCAGTACTGAGGACTGAATCCAGGCCCTTCACACTGAGCCACATTCTCAGCCCTTTTCCATTTTGTGAGACAAGACCTCACTAAACTGCTGTGCTCCCCAGGCTGGGCTCAGACTTTCGATCCTCCTGCCTCAGCCTCTCAGAGTGCTAGGATTAAAGTGTGCAGCACTACACTGGCTACCTGACACATTCTGTAAAACTCTCTTCAGATGAAGTTGAGCACGCTGAGAAGAGGCAAACTGGCAAGCCAGAGAGAGCAGGTCTAATGCTGAGCTGACGACCTGGGTGAGTCCTCCCAACCTCTCCTGCACTTCCAGGGTTATCACAAAGACTCCCACCACAAATCTGACATGCACTCAACAAGTTTATTGAGACCCGCTGGGGCCTAAGCCCTGCAGAAAACAGAGCTAAATCAAACCCAGTCCCAAGCCCACAGTGTCAAACAGCCAGTCAGTGCCTTCAAACAGGAAGAGCCTGTGTGGACAAGTTCGGAGCCCTAGGACGGAGCTCACCATGGAGGGAGGAGGGCGCTGCTCTGCGGGCCCAGGCCCAGCTCACTGCAGGCTGGCCCACTGCAGGGAGGTGTAGGCCACCTTACCATCAGGCTGTGGGGAGCACAGCAGCAGCGTCTTCCTCACACTTGTTCCCAGGCGGCCGGCAGAGACCAGGTCCTGCAGTGGAATGGGGTCCTCCGGAGCCCAGCACTGGGCAATGTAGTGGGCATGGAAACGGAGCGGGTCACCTGCGGGACAGAGAGGCTCGGACAGTGTCCCACGATGGGGCTGGGTCACTGGGACACCAACGTGGGTTCAGTTTCCAACTTGCTACAGGTACTCGGAGACACACACCCCTGCACAAGGTAGTCCTTGCCTAGGGATTCTTTTTCTTACTAGTTGCACTGTAAAATACCTGTAATGAATGAGTACAGGTTTTCTGTTGTTGTTTGTTTTTTTGTTTTTTGAGACAGGATCTGGCTACATGGTTCAGGCTGGCCTTGAATTCCTGGTGATCTTCCTGCTTCTGCCTCCTGAGTGCTGGGATCACAGGCATGCCACACCACACCCGGCTGACTGCAGTATTTTGTTATCACTCATAATTGCTAACAAATGGAGGCAATCAAACCATGGACAGGGTAAAACCAAGTACAGTATTTTTTTTGTACCAGGGATCAAACTCTAGACCTTGAGCTTGCGAGGCAGGTGGCAGAACCACTGAGCTAAATCCCCAGTCCCCAAGTACAGTATTTATACAAGCTTTGTTTTCTTTGCCTATTCCACGACCATTTTTGGTACCGGGGATCGAACTCGGGTCCTTGCGCTTATGCAGCAGGTGCCAAAACCACTGAGCTAAATCCCCGGCCTCCACAACCATTTTTTAAAAATTAATTTTAGGCTGGGGATTTAGGTCAGGGGTTCTGCCTTTTATTTTTGCATTTTTAATTTTATTGGTACAACTTAGATATACATACTGATAACATTCATCACAGGGAATTTCTAACAACTATTAAAGCTTAAAAGAACATCGGCATGGAAAACACTCAATGGTACACTGAGGAGAGAAAGAAGGACGCAAAATATCACACCCCGAATAGCACAATCTTACTTAAAAATCAAGTCAATAGCCATGCATGGTGGCACACACCTGTCATCGCAGCACTCGGAAGGCTGAGGCAGGAGGACTGCTTCAACTTTGAGGCCAGCCTGAGCTACCCGGTCAGTTCAAGGCCAGCCTGAACTACATAGCCAGACCCTGTCTCAAAAACCAAAGAAGGAAGTAAGTAACTGACTACGTTGTGGTTGTGAACATGTGCTAAGAGCCAGCAACCATCAACGCCATGAGGAACTCACAGGGATGGTTGAGAAGTGACCCTGACGGGCTACAGCAGTGGCGGTGAACCTATGGCACACACGCCACAGTGGGCTGTTTGTACCACTGAAAGCTCTAAAAGGTTCGTTATCAACGGGCTAAAACTACTAACTGGAGGTGTGGCTCAGTGGAGCACTCACCTACAGCCAAGACAAGATTACAACAGGATCGAGCAATAAGGAGGTCAACGCGTTTTTTTGCAAAAAGAGCCAGACAGCCTGTGTTTCCAGCTCGTGGGTCGTGTTGCCAGTGCTCAGCTCAGCCGGAGCCAGACTGGCACCACAGCAGCTGCAGCCACACACACACACACACACACACACACACACACACACACACACACACACACACGCACACGCTCTCACTGTGTACTGCACTACATATGTGGGCTACTGAAAAGAAAAGGTACCAAAAAATGCTTGGGAAGCTAAGCCTGTAACTGTTTTTCTGGAGGCTTAGCAATGTTTAAACTCCAGAAGGTTTAGCAACAAGCTTAGAAACAGATAAGAGATTCATGATCTAATATAATTGTTTTACAGTATATGTTTTTTGGCCTGTTAGTCTGGCTGTTAATCTGTGTTTAGGATATTTATCCTAATAACTATCCTAATAAAGTTATAAAATAAATCAATCTGATGCGGGCAAAAATAATTTCAAAAGGGCCGGGGATTTAGCTCAGTGGTTTCACTGCCTGCTGCGCAAGTGCAAGGATCCAAGTTCGATCCCTGACACCAAAAAAAAAAAAATAATAATAATAATAATAATTTCAAAAAACAAATTTGGGATGGAGAAGGGAAAAAAAGAATTGAGATACATTAAGTACATGTATCAATTCCCCACAAGGAGTGTAATCATTATGTACTACAAACATGCACTCATAAAAACTTAAAAAAATAAACATAGAAAAAAAGATACATGGACTGGAGATTTAGCTCAGTGGTTTTGCTGCCTGCTGTGCGAGCGCAAGGACCCGAGTTCGATCCCTGGTACCAAAACCCAAACAAACAAACAAACAAACAAAAAGATACATGAAAGAATTTCAGATTTTTTTTTTTGGTACCAGGGATCGAACTCAGGTCCTTGTGCTTTCGAGGCAGGCTGCAGAACCACTGAGCTAAATCCCCGGCCCTCAGATTTTTTTTTTCCTGGACCGGGGTTCGAACTCAGGACCTTGCACTTGGCAGGCAGGGGCGGTGCCACTGAGCTACATCCCTGGCAAGTTTCAGATCTCAAATACTAATGTTTAGGGGACAAGTATTCTCTACCTATCTGGTGTACTGACATTTAATATTTTAGAAATGATGGCTCATTAAACCTAACAGGTCAGCCTGTGGTTCCACTTAAAACATAGGGTTAAGTAATTAAGTGACTGAAACTTGTTGTTTTCCCTCAAAGTGGCTTTTTTTGTTTGTCTGGAGATTGGGTCTCACTGTGTTGTCCGGGATGGCCTTAACCTCCTGGGCTCAATTGATCCCCCTGCCTCAGCTTCCTGAATAGTCAGAACTACAAACACACATAACACTGCACCTGGCTGGAGCCATTATTTCCAAGGGTATTTAAATGGCGGATGCATCTGCAAAACCACATAAACATGCGACCGAGCCAAACATACTCCAGCACCTCTTCTTTTCCTCTCTTAGCTCAGATTTTTCTTATGCACACAAGGATCTATATCAGTCTGAGAGCTATACTGTTCCTCTACTAACTGCTACATTTACTAAACTATTAGTCATCTTGGTTGCTTACCAATTTTTCAGTACTGTTTACAGTCCTGTACCAAATATTCTACTTGTTTTGTATAGGTCTAAATACTCAGGAGTGAATCTTGTGGGTCACTGGAAGTGATTAATAGAGGTTGCTAAGCTGCCCCTACATGAGCATGGGAACTCCCACAAGCTTCCTGCTCTTCTATGGGTTTCAGAAGCTGAGAAAGACAAAAAGATAAAATGTACTGGGGTGTGGTGGGGCATGTAATCAGTAATCACATGTACTCATGAGGCTGAGATAGGAGGATCACAAGTCTGAACCCAGCCTGGGCAACTTAAAATTTTTAAATTTTAAAAAAGTTAAGGGGGGGGCTGTGAATGTAGCTGGGTGATACACACTTGGTTAACATGTGCAAGGCCCTGGGTTCAATCCCCAGTACTTCCGAAGGAAAGGAAAGGATGGGATACAGAACATATCAGATCGGTAAGGTGAGGAAAAGCAAATCCACCACAGCTCCCAACCCCAACTCACCAGGATACACCAGGAAGTCGCCGCCGAACTTGCCGGCGGCGCTGAGGAAAAAGCCTCGCTCCCACAGATCTCTGTAGATGCTGTAGCGCAGCTCGTGGGCGGGCCGGCCGGCGTGGGGCCAGTCTTTGGACTGCACGCGCCAGTCCAGGGGCCTGGCCTTAACAGGCCGAGGCCTGGCGGTGGCCAGCTGGACCAGCAGGGCAGACCTGGGCAAGGGCGCCGCCCCATCTGAAGCTGCTTGAGAAGAAGGCACTGGAGGAATGCAGAGGGAAACGCGTTGAACCCAAGGTCTTCCTGCCTCGGGGAGATCGAGCCTAAACTCCCCAAAGCCGCGTTCCTCTCCCCCCCCAGCCCCGCCCACCTGCTTCCTCCTGCTCCCCGGAGGCCTGGCCACCTCCGATCTCGCTCTCTTCCGCGGCTCGGCTCCCGCCGGCCTCGGAATCCTGCTCCAGCTTCTGCTTCTTGGCAGCCTGGCCCTCTGCAATCTTCTCCAGGAGCTCCTGACGCCGGTTCTCACGGGCCTCGGCCGCCAACGCGCTTTGCTCCTGGAAGCTCTGCTCTTGCTGGCGTCTGAACGATGCCAGAGCCTGGGAAGTAAAGTGAGCTAGACCCGAGGCCCAGGCTTGCAGGCCCTCAGGAAATCGGGAGTCCTAACGCCGCGCACGCTCCGACCAAGCCACTCCAAACAGGACCCCCGGGACCTCCCCTTCAGGATACCGCGGTTCTTACCAGGCTGTGCTGGCTGGGATCCCGGCGAGGGGAGCTGACCAGGGTCACGGCGCCGATCTCGGCCAGGAGCCGCGCCTCCTCCGGCAAAAGCAGCAACGGGAGGCCCAGGCGCGAGTTCTGCCGGGGCCCGCGGGGCAGGGCGCCCACCGTGCGGCCCCCCACGCCCAGGCGCTCCCGCAGCGCCTGAACCGCCTCGGCCCCCCACACCAGCGAGCGGCCGTTCGCCACCTCCACCACCAGCATCCTCCTGCGGAGCGGGGACACAGGGGTCACCCAAACAGCCCCTAGGACACCTCCAGAGAGCACCCCCAACCCCGCCTGGGATGCCACCTGCGGCCGAGAAAGGCCCCGCCCAGAGGTCCGAAGCCACGCCCGGCCCCTTAAATTCCGCCCCGCGGAGCTGCTAGGCCCAACCCATCCTCGCAAGTCTTGCCCCCGAGGCCCCGCCCTACACCCGCCTCTGGGAACTTTAGCCGCTCCCGTCACCGAACCTTCGCGGTTCGGCTGTCAGGCCTTGCTCCAAGTTAGACTTCTTTAGCACCAAACCCCGCCCCCTTTCCGATTGTAAGCGACCCGGCGTTCGGGCCTTCTCGGCTCCCGTCCGTCCCGCAGCCTGTGGTCCCGGCCCACGGGGAACCCCACCGCCCAGGCCCCGCCCTCTGCCATCCGCTCTCCGCCGGGCGGCATCACCCCACCCGTGAGGGCTCGGTCCGCGTCCTCGCTTCTCTCAAACTGGGCCCTCTAACACCAAACTCGCAGTCCAGGCGGAGCCAGCCCCTACATAGCGCGCCATGCGCCGCATCCTCCGCCCTGCACCATGCCGACCTCAGCGGAGCGGGAAGTGGGACCCACCCCAGCCGCGCGCCTCTTCGCGGCAGCTCTGGCTCTGCAACCCGAGACCTGCGTGAGCTCATTATCCTGGCCCCTCCCCCCGAGCCTGGAGTCCTCCCCGGGCTCCGCCCCGATCTCCGCCTCCTTCAGGTTGTCCGTGGTCCGCCTTCCTCCTGAAAACCAGGAAGCTGTTGGCTCCGCCCATCATTACCCAAGGTCCCTTACATCCGATTCTTTCCGAAGTGAACCGAAACTTGGCCCCCGCTTACACCGCACAGTCTTTGGACTATCTCCGAAGGAAACCGAGCTTGTGGCCCCGCCCACCTCAAACACTGCCTTCTCCGAAGAACGCCGAACTCTGTGGCTCCGCCCACACACCGTGGGCTTGGCTCCCGACTGAGCCCGAAGGAACCCAAAACGGAGATGAGTCCTACGGGCCGGAAGTGCCGGCCCCGCCTCTCCAGCCCGAGGCCCCGCCCTCCCGTCCTCTCGGCTCTGCGCCGGGGCTGAGCAGATCCCTCGGCTCGGCTCGGATCCGGGGCTGACAGGTGCTCGCGCTGATTCCCTTCCCAGCGCAGCCCGGCCGATCTCCGACGTCGGCCGCGCCCCGGGCCCTGTACCGGGCCGCCCTCCTAGACCCAGGCAGAAGCGGGCGGCGCGGGGGAGGCTTGGCGCGAGCCTCGGCGGGCGCGGGCCGGGGTGGCTGCCTCCCGCCGGCGGGCAGCTCAGGTGGGCCGGGCTCGGGCGCGGCAGGGTCACCGTGGATGGCCGGGTGGGAGGCGGGGGAAGCGCAGGGCTCAGCTGGGCTCTGGCAGGCCCGCCTGTGGCTCGCCGGGACCGGATCGGAGCGGGGAGGCTGCGGGCGGGGCCGGAGTTAGGAGGAGGTGGAGGCTGAAGCGTCTCGGGGTGCTCCGGGGAGCAGGGCGGGGGGGTCTGGTTTCCGGGGTCTCCTAGGCTCTCGGGAAGGGCTGGGGGGGGTGCGGGGTTCTCAGGGGAAGGGTGTCCTGATGCCCGTTCTTAAATGGGGGTGGGGTGAGGAGCTTTCATTTCTGCGTTTGCAAACGAAAGAGACTAGGGCTGGATTCCTGGGTCCTGGACGGACGGGAGAGCCCAGGTCTCGGCGGGCCGCCTAGGCTTTGCAAGGTGGGCTTGAGGACTGGATCCTCTGCCCTCACCGGCGGAAGACGCTGGAGGCCCGCACTCCTGGATCTCGCCAGGAGCGCCTGCCTTCCTCTCTCCCCACAGCATGTCACCCGAGGAGTGGACGTATCTGGTGGTTCTTCTCATCTCCATCCCCATCGGCTTCCTCTTTAAGAAAGCTGGTGAGTCAGGTTCCCTCCCCGGTGGAAAGTGTGGGGGCGGTGAGGAGCTCCTGGAAGGTTCCAGGCTTACGCTGTCCTTTCCCCCACAGGACCTGGGCTGAAGAGATGGGGGGCGGCGGCGGTGGGCCTGGGGCTCACCGTGTTCACCTGCGGCCCCCACACTCTGCACTCCCTGATCACAATGCTGGGGACCTGGGCCCTCATTCAGGCCCAGCCCTGGTGAGCACTGGGGGGAAGCCCACCCGGGTCCTCTTTGGGTCTCCGGCTTCACCCATCCTCCAGATATCTCCTGTTCTGCCTTGTTCCCTGTCCTGGAGCTTCTGATTTTCCTTTTCTCAGCCTTGCTCTGTGCTGTCCCTCCGTGTTGCCCCAGGCCTCTCCATCCCTGTGTGCTGTCCCTGCCACCGTGGACTCAGTGGCCACCCCGCCCCGGGCACAGCCAGCGTGCTCTGGGTCTTGGGGATGAAGGACACGGAGGACTGAAAGGTCTTCGGCCTGAAGCCTGTCTTACTCCTGTCCATTCCTCCCTTCTCTGTGGCTGTGCCTCTTTCTTCCCGGCCTCCAGTTTTCTGTCTGAACTCTGAGTGCTGGGGGAGATTTGTGCTGAGATGGGGGGGGGGGCAAAGACCCAGGTCCCCACACCCACAGCGCCTCCCACCTCTGCCCCAGCTCCTGCCACGCCCTGGCTCTCGCCTGGACCTTCTCCTACCTCCTCTTCTTCCGAGCCCTCAGCCTGCTGGGCCTGCCGACTCCTACACCCTTCACCAATGCCGTCCAGCTGCTGTTGACACTGAAGGTCAGCCTGGACTCCCACTCCCCCAGCCTCCCTGGGCCTGGTTAGCCTGTGCGCTCCACTCCTCCCAGCCCTTCCCACAGGCGGGTAGGGATTGTACCTCACCACCCCTGAGTGTGGGAAAGGCTCACCTCTCATGCCCGGGAGCAGTCTTCACCTCTCCTCTCTTTCTGGGGTAAGGAAGGAGCCCGCATGCTGTAACAGGAGGAGCTGTTTGGCACCTGGACTGTGCCTTTTGAGCCTGCTTTGCCAACATGCTGTGCTTAAAGCTCTGTAGCAAACTTTTGCAGAGGAGGATAATCAACTTTGGAGAGTAGGTACCTGGCCAAGGTCATCACCCGGCACAGCCAGGTGTGGCTCCTAATCACCTGGGAAGGGAGGAGGAAGCAGACTCCTAGGTCCTGCTCCCTTCTGGGGTCAGCACATCCGTGAACAGAAGAGTCACACAAGGTGAAGAACTGGCTTCTCAGCACTCTCTTGCCATCGGGGGCTCAGGCAGCTGAGGCGGTCAGCTGAGAGGAGACTTGAGGGAGACCATCTCAGGGCAAGCAGTGTGGGAGCCGGCCACGTCCGCTTTCTGCAGAGCGCACAAGGCAGTGGGCAGCAGGGTCCAGGTCAGGCAGGGCCTTGCCAGCCATGGCAGGAGGTGGGACTTCCTTCTGTGGGGACCAAGGTCTACTGGAGAAGGATTGTGGTTTGTTGCCAGAAGAAAGGATGCAATCAGCTTTGCATGTTTAGAACATTACAGTACTGGCCCTGAACCAGTTGTGACAGGCGGCTGCCACCACAGCCATTATCCCAAGGGCTCCAGAGGGCTGTGAATGTAGCCCAGGGATGTGTTGCTTGCCTACCATACGGGAAGCCCTGGGTTCAATCCCCATTCCCACAAAAACTTGAGAAGAAATACACACCCTGGATAGTGAGAGGAGGGAAGTGGGACAGGCCGAGATGGAACGAGGGTTCCTTTATCAAGGACCATGCGACTGGTGGCCGCATGACGTGTGCCATCGGCTGTGCTATCGGCTCAGAGCCCAACAGGAAATGCTTGAGGACAGCTAGAGGGCTTTACTTGCAGCAGGGTGGGTAGAGAGGAGAAGCGACCCTGGGTGGGAGTGGCGCTGTTACCCAGGGCGGGTCCTGCCTGAAACAAGCTCTCCAGGCCCCAGTCCCGGGGAGGAAAGCCCTGCCCTGGCATCCTGCCAACTCGCTGTCCTGGTGGGCCAAGAGTCCACCAAACCCAGGGGAAGCCGGCAGACACCTGTGCCCTGGGGCAGGCCTTGCCCTGGGTGAACAGGTAGAGAGTAGATGGAGCAGAGCAGGTAAGACATTCAGAGCTCCATAGAGGAGGCGGGGAGAAGGAGACAGACTCCGGAAACCTGAGGGGTCGGGTCTGGGCGCCGTGGTGGCTTCCGGCCGGAGCGGTGGACTAGATGGGGGTGGCCTCTCTGCCGGGAGCGACCAGAAGATCTGCTTTGGGCTGTGGGTGACAAGTTCCATTTTGGAGATGTCAGAGTTGACCCCTGGAAGGCTCCAAGTGTAAATGGCAACGGGGCAGCTTGCTGGGTGGGCCTGGGCTCGGGCCAAGGTCCAGGCTGGGCAGCGCTGGGGTGTCGCTGGCATGTGGACGCTCTCTAAAGCCGTGGGACTGCCTGAGAGCACACGGGGACAGACAGGGAAAGGGGAGGCCCCGGGTCTCCCCGGAAGGGTCTCCACCACTCTGGGTGCCCAGGCTGCCTGGGGCTGGTTCCTCCCTGCCACTGCGACAGCCAGCGGCGTAAGGGACACGCTGTGGGGAGGCTTGGCCTGACCGCACTGCCTGCCCTTCCCCAGCTGGTGAGTCTGGCCAGTGACGTCCAGGACCTGCACTTGGCCCAGCGGAAGGAAATGGCCTCCGGCTTCAGCAAGGCGCCCACCCTGGGGCTGCTGCCCCATGTTCCCTCCTTGATGGAGACGCTGAGCTATAGCTACTGCTACGTGGGAATCATGACAGGTGAGTGGCCTGCCCCATGCCTCTGCCTTTCCACCTCGCCTCCCTCAGGCCCATCGCCTGCCGTGCCAGGCGCATCTTGCTACTGCTGGGCGGAAGCTGGCTATTCTCAGGACGACTCCTTGCTACCCTCGGACCTCACGGAAGCCAGCAGGAGAGGGAAAGGAGACGAGCCTGTGTAAGCCCAGTGGGTCTGCCGCCAAGGAGCAAAGACTCAGCTCAGGACCCACTGTCAGCTTCAGGAAGTGTTTTCCATGAACCTGTGCCTCCCAGAAGGTCTTCTTTGGCATAACTGCTCTAGGAAGCTGTCACTCACCATGCCCGATCTGGGCATGTGACTCACGCACACGTGGTTTCTTGTGAACGTCCAAGGTTTTCGAACCCATGTCTTCTGTCCGGCCCCGCTGCCCCTCCCTAGGCCACCCCACCACCCTGTCTCCGGGCCACTCTCCTCTTATTGCAGCAGGGCTGTGGGAAGTGGGTAGGAACCAGCTCTCCTGCCAGAGAAGCCTTCAGTGGCCTCCTAGCACTCTTAGGGCGAAGCCACGTCCTCATGCCTGCAGGCCTGGGTGTCTCCTGTCTTCTCTCCTGTGGTGCTCTGCCTTCTGTGACTTACATCAAGGTCACCCCATGTCCAAGCCTTGTCTGTCTTCATCTGCCTCAGCAACCTCAGTCCCTCTTAAGAATGCCTAGGGTCTAGGGCTGGGGATTTAGCTCAGTGGTTCTGGCTCCTGCCTCGAAAGCGAAAGGTTCTGAGTTCAATCCCCAGTAACAAAAACAACAACAAAAAGAATCCCTAGGGTCTTTGTCTACATCTTTCTGTTGTCTCTGGGATTCCCTGGGCCAGTGGGTCTCCCTCCCCTGCCCTCTTAGTCTCTGACCACCTGGCCCTTCTGCCCCACAGGCCCATTCTTCCGCTACCGCACCTACCTGGATTGGCTGGAGCAGCCCTTCCCGGAGGCTCTGCCCAGCCTGAGGCCCCTGCTCTGCCGGGCCTGGCCGGCCCCGCTCTTCGGCCTGCTCTTCCTGCTGTCCTCCCACCTCTTCCCTTTGGAGGCCGTGCGTGAAGATGCCTTCTACGCCCGCCCGCTGCCTACCCGCCTCTTCTACATGATCCCCGTCTTCTTCGCCTTCCGCATGCGCTTCTACGTGGCCTGGATTGCTGCCGAGTGTGGCTGCATTGCTGCTGGCTTTGGGGCCTACCCTGTGGCCGCCAAGGCCCGGGCCGGGGGCGGCCCCACCCTCCAATGCCCACCCCCTAGCAGGTCAGGCGAAGGGAGGGAGGCTTCCCAAGACTCAGCAGGCCCCGCCACCAACGGCTGGCCCTGCTAGGCTAGCCCTGCCACCAGCAGGGAGGAGAGTGGGAAGCAGGGGCAGGGCCACCAAGTGTGGTGAGCAGTGTCACCCCTGACGACCACCGCCTGCCTTTCCTTGTCAGTAGGGGTCCAGTATTCTTGGTACCTTTTCATCACCCCTTGTTGCTAGTACCCCTCACCCCTCTGTATGGTGAGTCCCCCTCTGTTGCTAGAAAAGGAAGATGGCATCTTAGCAACTACATGCCACCCTATATTGCCATGGAAACATCACCCCAAGAACCAGATTATTCCTGGTTGCTGGGATGCCATCCTTAGGTAGTGGTAGGTCATCTTCTGTTGCTAGGGGAATGGTTACTTAGCAACTCAGCTCCCCCACCTTTGCTAGGGATGTGGTAACCCTAGCAACTCTAGTCCTCTTTTTGCCAGACATCTTGCTCTTTGGGGCTATAGAACCTGCACCCCCAAGCTCCTCCTGTGTTTCGGGAGCCAGCACCTCTCCCCATGAGATGTTGCACCTAGCAGCTCTCAGTTACCCTCTGTCTCCAAGGAAATAGTATCTCTGACCGTGCCCTCCTCCAGCTGGGAGGCCCCCATTCCCAGCAACCATAGGTCACCCCCTCCTGTTACCAAGGAAACCAGCCCTCCCCCTGGTAACTCTGTCATGATCCCTGTTGCTCCTGATGCTGCCCATGTCCCACCACCATCATTGCTGGGTAGGTCACACAGCCAGTAACAACACAGCTCCCTGTTGCTGTGGAAGTGTGCTGCTGAGTTGCTAGGGAAGTGGTATCCCTAGCAACCAGGAGTGGGCTGACCCTCTCCTCTAGACACCACTGTCAGCCTTCCACCTGGGCCTGGAGCCAGGGCAGCATCCCTTGATATAAATTACAAACCACTCCTTGCCAGGGTTGTGCCACGGCCTCATAGGCACAAACTGCCATCCTGTTGGGGTAGTGACACCCACTGCCCTAGTAGCCATGGGCAGACCTCCAGCTGCTAGAAAGGACGACCCCCCAGGGAAGTCAGGCAGGCGTTGAAGGCTCTCTGAACCTGCCAGGCCCTACTTCAAAAGGAGAGCTCCCCTTCCGTCACTGAGGTCTCGGGGATGTACTCCATTGCTGGGGCCATTGGCATCAGCAACCTGGAAACCACTGTATTTCTGGAGGTGACACTTCTCGAACATTCACAGGGACCAGGACAGAAAGACCCTTTCTGGAAGCTTTTCTAAACAGCCTGGGCCTTGTTGCTAAGGAATCCTTTCTCCATAGCAACAGATCATCCAGAGTCACAAGGCCTAGAAGCCTCCTTAGCAACCACCACCTTTAGAGAGGATGCTTCCCTGGCAACACACTGTCCCATGGGTCAGAAGGGACCACACTTGGTAGGCTCTGTGAATATGCTGAGCTTGGTAGCTAAAGGACACATAGCTTGGCAGCCGCAGCCCCTCCAGGCTTTCTGTGGCTGTGGCAGCCCACCAGTTAACCAAGGAGAGAAGCCCACTGTTGGTGAGTGGTGTCCCACCCACCTTGCTCCCCCAAGACTCCCCCTGGGCTTCTCCTTTTCCCAGAGCAAGTCTGACAGCCAGAGAGCTGTCACCTGGCCAGAATCACTCCTTAGTTAGGATCTGGGGCTGGGACAGGAGCAGGCAGCAGGAGGGGCCTGGCTGAGCTGCATGTCTGTCCCACCCTCATCCCCCACCCCAGTCTGGAGAAGGCAGCTGCCCTGGAGTATGACTATGAGACGATCCGCAACATCGACTGCTACAACACAGACTTCTGCATGCGTGTGCGGGAGGGCATGCGGTACTGGAACATGACGGTGCAGTGGTGGCTGGCACAGTACATCTACAAGAGTGCACCTGCCAGCTCCTACGTCCTGAGGTGAGGGAGCCCTGGGTGTTGTGGTGGCCTAGAACTGCATGTCCCGGCAGCCCATGGCTCCCCTGCTGGAGCCCTGACCCTAGGGCTCATGGGAGTTGTAGTTTCCCAGGCTTGCACTGACGTAAACCACCCGTCTGGGCCTAAGGTCCTCTTCATGTAATGGTGCAGGTTACTGTGTCCTATTCTTCATCTTGAGACAGTCTTGCTAAATTACCAGGCCGGCCCTAAACCTGCAGTACTCCTGCCTCAGGTCCTCAAGTAGGTGGGATTGTAGGAATGCACCACCTCACCAGCCTTCTCTTCCAGTATTTCTTGAGTAGAAACCATGTTGGTTTGGGCATCATCTTTAAGTCACAGAAGTGGCAACTCTTATCATCCCCATCTTTTTATCCCCATTTTAAGTGAAGAGACCAAGGTTCAGAAAGGTCAGGCAACCTGCTGCAGGTCACTTAGTCTTCTCACCACCAGAGGAGCTCATGATATGCCCGACAAGTTTCTCTAAGAAGGAGTCAGGATGGCAGCCCTGGAGCTAGATCTGCCTGGGTGTGATCTGGCTTGTAGTTTGAAGATCCACTTGGAGCCAGGAGTGAGCACAGCTGCCATTCCAGCCCTCGGGAGGCAGAGGCAAGAGGAGTGTGAGTTGAAGGCCAGCCTGTGCAGTGTGGTGAGGTCCTGTCTCTGAACAAGGATCTATTCAGTGCCTGGCATGTGCAAGGGCCCAGGTCCAATCCCTAACATAAAAACTAAAGATCCCCATTGCTGGATGCAGTGGTCCACACCTGTAATCTCAGCACTCTTGGGGAGAGGCAGGAGCGACAGGTTTGAGTCCAGTGTGGGGGTCTCAGCGAGACCCTGTCTTGAGCCAAGAAAAGGGCTGGGAGTGTAGCTCAATGTGAAGGCCCAGGGTAGAGGGATCCTCTCTGGCTTGTGTGGAGAATGCAGCAGAGGTGAGGAGAAAGCAGGGAGGCAAATCATAGACCTCTGGGTTGCCCAGGCAGAGGTGACTGCTGTTCTCAACAGAGAAGAGCGGCCCAGAAGTAGCTGGATTTGAGAGCAGAGCCAGGGCTCGGGTGGACTGAGCATGGCTCAGGAGAGGAGGGGATTGGGATTGAAACCTGATTCCCAGCTTGTGGGTGTCAGTGAGAGAGGACACAGGGCACACAGGGTGTCCTGCAGAGGGGAAGACGCAGCAGGAGGGAGATCGAGAGTGGGAAGGATGAAGAGCAAGACTGGGTTCAGCCTCCTTAACTCTGAGGTGACTCGGATTTGCGGTTGAGCCCCTTGGACAGACAGTGATGTGGTGCTGAGGCCTCAGGGAAAAGCTGGTGTCGGCAGTGGGCAAAGTGTCCCAGGTTGAATGAGATGGCCTGGACAGGTCAGGGCCCCAGCACCCCAGGGTCTAGCTCAGTGGGCCTCAACTGGGTGACTGCCCGTGGCAGCAGGCATGTGACAGTGTCAGACTCGGGGCCTCCAGCATGCTAGAGAAATGCTGTGCCTCGGAGCCAGCCCAGGACCAGGCCCAGGACACACTTCCTGCCATAACTGGGAGGTCCCATGCGGGGAGGCAGGGCCACTCCTGAACACCCCGCCATGTGCAGTGTTCAGCCTTTCTGTTTACCTCCCTGCCCTGAGGACGAGAGGTCAGTTTACTATCACTGGATCATTGTTGCGCCTCCGGCCCTGGGTGGATCAGGATGGCCCACAGGTGAGAAAGAGTGTCTGGTCACAGAAGTAAAGCCACTGGTCCCTGCACAGTGGGAACCATGCCTGTCTGCAGCAGAGGTCTCAGAGCCTGAATTCTCAGGTTTCAGGAGCTGGAGAATCAGGCTTCTGGAGTCTGCAGACGAGGGGAAGTGTGGCTGGAGAATTCTGAGTCTCCACTAGTCAGGATTTGGACTCGTGATTCCCTAAAGCAAAGTCCCAGGTTCATGGGTCCTGCAGAGAAGTGGGGGGTGGGCGGGTCCTCAGAAAGACAGGAGTAGACTCCTAGGTCCTGGGAGAGGAAGGGAGACAGGCTTCTGAGTCCTGCGTAATGAGTTTGTGTGTGGTGCTGGGGACTGAACTCAGGGCCTTGCTCGTGCTGGGCAGTCGCGCTACCAGTCAGCGACACCCCCTCATTCTGGCTTCTTGAAGGAGGCGGGGCCTGGGTTATACAGCGTTGGGCAGCTCAGGACCTCGGTCTCGCGATAGGAGCGGACCGTTGGCTTCCTGATTCTCCAGAACCGCGGGAAGGTGGCGCCGAGCCTTGGAGGGGGAGGGACGAAACTCCTGGCCAGTGTATGGGCTTCTGGGTCTTGGGCTGGACCGTGGTTCTCTTACTGGAAGACTCGTCACTAAGAGGATCCCCATGTGCCCCACGCCCAGGATTTCTGATGCCAGTGGGTGGAGCCCGGGAATGTGTATTCTAAGGAGTTCGCAGGGAATGCTGATGCCAGACCAGACTGTACTTTGAAAACCACTGGGCTAAGGAACTGGACGCCTTGTCCCTGAGAGAGGAAGGGCTGTGGGCTTTGAGACCCAGCGGGGGAGGGCATGGTTAAGCTTGCTGCCTCCAGTATGGGGAGCTGGGGCCTGGACTCCTGCGCCCTGATTCCCACCCTCTCCCCAGGAGCGCCTGGACCATGTTGCTGAGCGCCTACTGGCACGGCCTGCACCCTGGCTACTATCTCAGCTTCCTGACCGTCCCGCTGTGCCTGGCTGCCGAGGGCTGTTTGGAGTCCGCCCTGTGGGGGCGGCTGAGCCCCAGGGGCCAGAAAGTGTGGTACTGGGTGCACTGGTTCCTGAAGATGCGCGCCTACGACTACATGTGCATGGGCTTTGTGCTCCTGTCCATGGGCAGCACGCTCCGGTACTGGGCCTCTGTCTACTTCTGCGTGCACATCCTGGCCGGGGCCTGCCTGGGGCTGGGGCTGGCTTTGGGTGGGGGCAGGCGCAGCCTGCGGAAGACTGCGTCCGAGTCCCAGGCCGCCAGCACGGCCCCAGAGAAGCTCCGGGAGGAGTGAGCTGCCAGAGCGCCCTCTGCCGGCGGGTCCAGCCACAAGCTTTCCCCTGGAATCTGCGCCAGGCTGCTGCTGTCTCCCTTCCTGCAAGATCCCTGCCAGGCCGAGCCTGGAGAGGGCCCCGCTTCCCTGCTACTACCCGCCTTCCACTGGATCGGAGCCTCGGCTGTGCCCTCTCCCCGCCTCCAGCGGGCCCCTGGCCCCCGTTCCCCAGTCAGGCCTGCAGTGTTCAGAGCTGCCCGACCCCAGAGCAGCAGGGTGGGCGCGGCGCAAGGTGCCTCCGCGGACACTTTCTCCTTGGCCTCAGCGCAGGGACCAGAGCTTCAGCACCGGTTCCAGGAGGGAGAGCCTCTTCCTGTGTCGTTCCCTTTTTAATCTCGTCCAACCAGTATTTTAGACATGGAAGGGGACACGACCTTCCATTCCCAACTGGAGCTGAGGGACTGGGGACTTTGCTCCTGTAGCTCCCACCTGGCCACCCCGTCTCCCTTGGCCCAGATGGGTCAGAATGTGTCCATCTTACCAATAAAGTGTCACGGGCGTGTGTGTGCATGTGGGAGCTCTGTGGGTGATAAGCCCCAGGACACGGGCTTGAAGGGCAGTGATCCACCGCTACCTCCACCCCTCTCTGGCCTGAGGCCGCCTGGGCTCCCAGGTGACCAGGACTTCAGTTCCCAGGAGGCCTCAGGCGGCAGTGACCCTGAAAATCTACAGGAAATGTGTTCTCCCTGGGCCACCTGGTGGCCAGGTCCTGCCTCTGGCCTCCCTTACCTGGGCTGTCCCCACCCAGGGATCCCGGGAGACGGAAAAGCCTCTTGCCCAGGGCCATGGAAGAAGGCCTCGGCTGGGAACCCGAAGCCTGGGAGCCCCCGGGCAGGGGGCTGGCCCCCCGGGAGGCCAGAGCAGGTGCGAGAACTGGTGGTTTGGATCCTTCCAGCCCAGGGAAAGTCAGGGAGGCCGGAGTTCCTGGGTACAGGAACAGGAGAGGGAAGGATTTCAGTTACTGGGGGAAAGAACTGGGACGCCGAGTCAGGAGGCGTCCACAGACCCAGACACTGTAGGGGAGGAGAGGTTCCAGAGTCGGGGCTCAGCTGCCTCGCTATGGGAAGCCTGGGATTCCAAGGCCCCCCAATAAAGGAAAAGGAAGTTGGGGCCTGGATTCCTCAGCCTTAGAGGGGGGGGCGGGGGGGCGGAGTCTAGGAGTCTGGGTTCCTGGACCTGTGGGCTGTGGAGGCTGGAAATTCTAAACTAGAGCCAAGAGGGAAACGGCTGGGAATTCTCAACTCCTGGGTCTAAGGGAGGAGGCTGGGCCCAGCCCCGTAGGCTTCACACCTCTGCTCTCCCAGGCCAGTCGCTGGCCTCCGTGCTGAGCGAGCTCCCCAGCGCTGCTACCCTTCGGTACCGTGGCCCTGGGGTGCTGCCCTGGGGGTCACTGGAGGAGGAAGATGAAGGAGGAAGGAGCGTCCAGGGCCTCACAGGTGCCGCCCAAATGGAGCTACAGGACCCTCGCCATTCCCGGGAACTGCCCTGGCCCATGCAGGCGAGACGGGTGCACAGGTGAGGGTCCACCCTTCCCTGGAAGCTCCTTCCCGGACGTTTCCCACCGGCTTCCCGCTGGTATTTATGGTTTGCCCTCCACTGCGCATGCCCCGTGAGCAGCTGCCGGGCGCTTGCTCCGAACTCCGGGTGGATACAGTCATGCAGACTGCGTTCTTTAGTACCTGGCTTCTTTCGCATAGATCAGGTATTTTCTTTCATTGCGACAGTATTCCATGTTGTGAATACAGTATACGGGGCTGCCAGGCCCTCCTTCTCTCTGACTCTGTGTCCCTTCCAGGAAAAACCAGGCCAGGGAGCAAAGTGCCTGCAGCACCGGATCCAGGGTTGGCCACTGGGCCCCGCTGCTTGCCAGGGGCAAGGACCAGACGAAGGAAGGCCTCCGCAGCCTGCAGCCCTGGGCGTGGACTGTGAACAGGATAGGGGGTGTGCGGGGGTCTGAGGGAGGAGGGCTGGGCCTGGTGCCCGGGGCTCGGCGAAGGCACCTGAGCGCCCTCTGCTGCCCCCTGCAGGCCAGTTTGGCGCCGGCACGGAGTCCTACTTCTCCCTGCTGCGCTTCCTGCTGCTTCTGAACGCACTGGCGTCAGTGCTGGTGGCCTGCATGGTGCTGCTGCCCACCTGGCTGGAAGGCGCTCCCCTGGGGCCTCCTGCCCCCAGTGCCTCGTCACCCTGCGGTTCCTACAGCCCCCACAGCCCGGGCCTGGCCACCTTCCCCTCCCAGCTCTTCAACTTGCTCTCGGGACAGGTGGGTGCCCCGGTCGCTGTGATGTCCCCGACCTGTCAGCCCCGAGTGCTCCTCACTGCCTCTCCAAGCCTGACCCCTGCTCCGCCCAGCCCTGCAGTGACCGTCTGCCTTCCTCCCCCTCCTCAGGGCTACCTGGAATGGTCACCTCTCTTCTATGGGTTCTACCCGGCCCGCAGGCACCTGGCAGTCACCTACCTGTGCTCCGTCTTTGCCAGTGGCCTCATCTGCCTCCTGCTCATTCTGCGGCGGTCAGTGACACCCACATCCTGACCCTGGAAGGAGGAGGGGGAGCGGGTGGGGGCTCCCCCAGAATGCTTGCTCTGTACGCGACCCTCTGGGTTGCTGTCAGTTTGTAAGATGCCCCTCATGTGTAAAGAGTAAGGACACAAGGTGACCAGTTTTTCTCCCTCCCAGAGCTTAGAATATGGTGGAGAAAGAGATACTAAATAAGCACAAGAGCCACCTACTTCCTGAGGGAAGAGTGCTGCACAGAAAACCAGCAGGGCTCATTCACTCACTCATGCAGCAGTTTGTGAAACACCTGCCACGTGTCATGTAGTGGGGTGTGGGACTCAGCAAACAGATGGGAAAGCTGACAAACCAGACCCCAGCTGTCTTGCCCTGTGCTGCAGTGAGTCCGGTACTTCTGCTGCCGGAAGCTGACAGGGCCCCGGGAAGGGAGACCCACAGTGGCCAGGCTGCTGTCCTAGTGGGCGGCCCAGGGAACCTTCCTAAGGGACATACGTTTAAGCAAAAGATTGAGAAGGTGAGTGTTTCAGCCATGAACAGTCCTAGAGGAAGAGCATCCAAGGCCAAGGGTTACAGCTGGGGCAACTCAAGAGCCGGTGCAGTGTGTGGGTGCGAGGTGGTGCCAAGTCTGGAGTGAAAAACCATCCTGATCGGATGTAGGTTTTAAGGATCCCTCTTTTTAAAATTCTTACTATTTTATTAGTCCATGTTTACAGTACATAATGATTACATTCAGTCAGGCACGGTGGCACACGCCTGTGATCCCAGCACTCTGAAGGCTAAGGCAGGAGGGTCACCACATGTTCAAGGCCAGCCTGAACTACACAGTGAGACTCTGTCTCAAAACACCTAAACCAGGGGGCCGGGGATTTAGCTCAGTGGTTTCGACACCTGCTGCACAAGCGCAAGGACCCGAGTTCCATCCCCAGTACCAAAAAGAAAAACAAAACCTAAACCAGGGCTGAGGATTTAGCTCAGTGGTTCCACTGCCTGCCTCATAAGTGCAAGGTCCTGAGTTCGATCCCCAGTACCAAAAAAAATAGATGATGGCGGCTTGGACTTGGATTATAGAAGCAGAACAGTGGGCCAAGGATGTAGCTCAGTGGCACCAAGCCTGCCTTGCAGGCGAAAGGTCCCGAGTTTGATCCCAGGTTCTGAGAAAAGAAAACAAAAAAGAATGACACCAAGAACTAGGACACCACTGTCCACACACGCAGAGACACCACCAGCCTCGGTCCACACTGCAGACCGCTGTGGCCCCTTCCTGCACCTTCTGTCACCAGATATGTGCTGAGGGGTTTGCTGATCGACTGGCTGCGAAGGCCCAGGCGGGCACACAGCCCTTGCCGTGGCCCAAGCGCCTGGGGAGGATCCAGAAGGAGTTTTTGACTGGCTGATTCTGAGGTGCCTTTTGGTTTACATGTTTTGCTGGAGCTGAGGCTGAATCCAGAGAGCTTTGTCCTGGCTGAGACATATGAAGGGAGGGCTGATGAGGGTTCAGGCAGGGGTCCCATCTCCAGACACATCTGGGGCTCACTGTTCAGGAGGCCCAGGGGAAGGGAGTGCGTTCAAGAAGGAAACCAGGGACGTAGGAAAAGTGACCAGGGTGTCCTCTCAGTGGCCGGCAGTGGCCGAGCCTGAGGAGCCATCTGGAGGGCCCCCTGGCTTGTACAATATGCCGTGAGACTGCTGAGTACGCAGACTGGTTCTGACTTGAGAGCAGCACCACGTAGAAAGGAAACAGGAAGCTAGGCCGCAGCAAGGGAACCACTTTTCTGCAAAGGGTCAGGTAGTAAATGTTTCCACCTTCACAAGCCAGGTGGGAGAGGGAGAGGGTGTGAGCGTCAAACAGAAGAGGTGGCCCTGCCTGGCTACAGCAGGAAGCAGCCGAGTCCCTCAGGGCAGGGAGAAGCTGAGCAATAGGTTTCCTGCCTGGCAATATGACCTGATTTGCATGAAAAGAAGGCCCCACCAGCTCAGGAACAGAGAATGGCCTCTCAGAGGGCACAAATTGAGGCAAGGCCCCAAGGTGGGGTCCTCTGTAGTTGTCCCTGAGAGAGATGAAGGGGCCAGGGTGGTGAAGAGGGACAGGTCTTGGTTTTTGTTTTGTTCTGTTTCAGACAGCGTCTCACTATTTAGTTCAGGCTGTACCAGGAGCTGGCTACATTTAGTTCACAGTGTAGCCCAGGCGAGGTCCTCCTGCCTCAGCCTCCCAAGTGCTGGAATTACAAGTGTGCCTGGCTTTGGACATGAAGTCCTTGCTCAGTTCTATTTCTGGCCCATCCTCTGGTTCCCAGTCCCTTCCCTGGCTGTCTGGCCACCCCAACGAGTGTCTCCCTGCCCTGCTTCCTGGGTCTCTTCTCTTCCCAGGTGCCCCTCTCCTAGGTGTCTGTCTCTCCTTACCCCGCTTTAGCTCTGGGTCTTTCTTTGCTCTGCCTCTATCAGGTGACAGCTCGCCAAGTGCCAAAGGTCTTAGGGTTCCTGTTTTGCAGCAGAGGGGTCCCCCACCCCACTCACAGCTGTTCTCCCACATCGGTCTCCCCTCTCTCAGCTCCGTGTCAGGACTGAAGCAGACACTGCTGGCCGAGTCGGGGGCTCTGACCAGCTACAGCCACCGGGTATTCTCGGCCTGGAACTTCGGCCTCTGCGGGGCCGAGCACGTGAGGCTGCGCCAGCGCAGGATCCTATACGAGCTGCAGGTGCGCCTGGGGGAGGAGGGCTCCAACTAGACAGGCACCTGGCAGGACCCCTGAGACAAGGTGCAGGCTGGGGCCCGCGCGGGGGGTGGATGGGGGGGCTTTCTCGTCAGGCCGGGGCGGGGATGCTAGAGGGCGAAGTACACTGGGCGGCCTGGCCACGTGGGCAGGGCTCGGGGCAGGGCGGGCGTGCACACTGGGCGACCCAGAGTACCGCGAGGACCCCAAAGACGGTCCGGAGGGGACGGAACTGGCCCTGCCGAGTGGCTCCAGGGTGGGAGAGGGCTGCACAGCTCGGTGTGCGGAGAGGCTCCAGCCTCTCGGGTCTGGGGAGTGAGCCCCGGTGACGATTCTGCGGCCTCAGGTGGAGCTGGAGGAAGCGGGGATCCGGCGCAGGGCCGCGGTGCGGACGCTGGGCCAGCAGGCCAGGGTGTGGCTGGTGCGGGTGCTGCTCAACCTGCTGGTGCTGGCGCTGCTGTGCGCGGCCTTCTACGGCGTCTACTGGGCCACGGGGGAAGCCGGGCAGCTGCAGGTGGGTCCCGGGGGCCCTGCATCCCCAAGGCTGGGGGGCCGTGAGCAGGGACGGAGGCCCAGCGTTGCTGGGACCCCAGGCCGGAGGCCCGGGCGGGGGTGGAGCCCGGATTCAGGGTCCAGGGAACCGGAGGCGGGCAGGACCGTACTCAGCCACCTCCGCGTCCAGGAGGCGCCCCTGGTCAAGCAGACGCCGCTGCTGCAGCTCGCGGTGAGCTACCTCCCGTCCATCTTCATCTCCGCGGTCAACGTCGTGCTGCCGCCCCTGTTCCAGCTCATCGGCTCGCTGGAGGGCTACACTCGGAGCCACCAGATCGTCTTCATCTTACTCAGGTTCCGGGCCGAGGGTGGGCTGGGGTCACGAGGACGGGGAGCGTCGCGGGCGCGGAGGTTAGGTCTCCGGGGGACAGGGCCATCGGCGGACAGGTCTCGGGAGTCCAGGCGTCTCTGAGCCTCGGTTTCTCCACCTGCGAAACGCGAGGCCGTGGGCGCGTCCCACGCAGGAAGCGACACGTCCCTCCCCGCAGGACCGTGTTTCTGCGCCTCGCCTCCCTGCTGTTCCTGCTCTTCTCCCTCTGGTCTCAGATCACCTGCGGGGGCGACGCCCAGGCCGAGCAGTGCCAAAGCTGTGGCTACAACCACAGAAAGTTCCCGGTGGGTCCGCAGCCGGCGCTGCTGGGGCCGGGGTCCGGGCGCAGAGCGAGGGGTGCTGGACGCAACGCCCTCGGGTGCGTGGTCCTGAGGCCTTGACGACCCATTCTCTACTTCCTCAGTGCTGGGAGACTCGGGTAGGCCAGGAGATGTACAAACTCCTGCTCTTCGACCTGCTGAGCAGCCTGGCCTTGGCGCTCCTCCTCCAGTTTCCCCGCAGGTGAGAGCCCCGCCCTCGGGAGCAGGCCCCGCCCCCGTAGCGCAGATCTCCGTTTTCGCCACAGCCCTCTTTACACCTCCTTTCTGTCCGCCAATCAGCGCCCTAGGCTTGCAGGCCACGCCCCTATTCTGAGCCCTCTTCCATCCTGGGCCCTCAGCCTCTGCTGGTCCAGAGGCTTCGCCCCTGGACACACCTCCGCCTGAGTGCACGTGACCACAGGCGCCCCGCCCTCTCGGTGCTCCTTTCCGATTGGTGGGCGGGGCGGTGGGGGCGGACACGCTTCCGACTGCCCGCCCCCCGCCCCGCAGGATACTCTGTGGGCTCTGTCCCGGGGCGCTGGGGCGCTGGGCCGCGGCACTGGAATTCAAGGTCGCCGACGAGGTGCTGGGGCTCATCTACGCGCAGACGGTGGTATGGGTGGGGAGCTTTTTCTGCCCTTTACTGCCCCTGCTCAACACGGCCAAGTTCCTGCTGCTTTTCTATTTGAAGAAGGTGAGGGGCCAGGGGAGGAAGGCGCTGGGGGCCAGACTCCGGGTCCTGCCTGGGAGAGGCCTGGGACTCCTGGAGGGGAAGGAGACGCAGACGCCCTCTTCCTGCTCCCCCGCCAGCTCACTCTGTTTTCCACCTGCTCCCCGGCGGCCCGCACCTTCCGGGCCTCCATGGCGAGCTGCTGCTTCCCCCTGGTCCTCCTCCTGGGGCTGGCCCTCTCCGCCGTCCCCGCGCTCTCCAGCATCTTCCTGTAAGTGTGCGGGGCTCCCGCCTCCCCCTCGCCCTCAGCCGGCCTAAGACGCCTGCCCGCCGGAACCCAGCCTGTCTGCCTACAGAATCCCGCCTTCCAAGCTGTGCGGCCCGTTCCGGGGGAAAGTCTCCATCTGGGCCCAGATCCCTGAGTCCATCGAGACCCTGCCTCACACCGCCCAGAACTTCCTCTTCTTCCTGGGCTCCCAGGCTTTTGCAGTGCCGCTTCTGTTGATCTCCAGGTGATGTGTGTGATGTGTGCGGGAGAGGAGGGAGGAGGGGGTCCCAGACTGGACTCCTAGTGCAGGAGGGGCCTCGGGGTCGGGTTTCTAAGGAGCCGGGGTTGAAATAATGAAGAGCGCTTCTGGAGTGGCTTCCGTTCCTGCCCCGTAGCATCCTGATGGCGTATACTGTGGCCCTGGCCAATTCCCAGGGACACCTCATCTCCCAGCTCAAACGCCAGATAGAGACGGTGAGCCAGGGTGGTCGCGCGGCGGGGCCTCCCGGGACCTGGAGGGCACCGGTGGGAGAGCGGGCGCTCACCTCCGCCTCCTCCGCAGGAGGCGCGGAACAAAGTCTTCCTGGCGCGCGCCGTGGCGCTGGGCTCGGAGAGCGGGGCTCTGTGAGCAGCCCAGCTCGGGATGACGGCCCGCTCTCGGCCTCACGTCTGCCCCCAGACCCTGGCAACCTTCCAGAAAATGACGACGCCCTTCCAGCCTGGGATCCAGAGACTTCCGGGACCCCCGCCCCCAAGTCCCTCTCCGTTGGTACTCAGATCAATAAACACAACCAAAACTGCACAGCCCTTTTTGGAATCTACACTAAGGCGCTTCTGTTGGGGACAAGCCAATCTGACCCAGTGGCTTCTGAGTAGACGGGAAGGGGTCATCTCAGCCAATCGGGGGCCGTATCTGGTGGCGTCTGGGCGGAGCCACTTGTGATTGACTCCGAAAGAACGGTTGCTAGGCGACAGCGCGCGCCTGCTCTGTGAATAGCTATGACGACGGGAGCTTCAACCAATCATCTTTCCTGGGAAAACCGGAGGGGGCGTGCTAATTAGCCCGGAACCAATCCGTGGCCGAGGCAAGGACAACAGGGGAGGGATATGTTTTCGCCATTCGGAAGCGCTTGAAGGCGGGCCTGCCAGTCTGTGGACGGCTACGGCGCCATGAACATCTTGCCCAAGAAGAGCTGGCACGTCCGGAACAAGGACAATGTTGCTCGCGTGCGCCGTGATGAGGCGCAGGCTCGGGAGGAGGAGAAGGAGCGTGAGCGGAAGGTGCTGCTCGCTGAGCAAGAGGTAAGATGCGACTCCCGGGAGCATAGCTCCTGCGTCAGTCACTCCGGGGCCCGCAGCGGGCCGGAAGTGAGCGCTGCGCAGGCGCACTGTGGCCGCGTTTCGGAGGGAGTTCCTGGCGAACCCGGCCCCACCCCCACGACTCCTCCGTGGGCCTCGTCCCTGGGAACACCCAGGTCCCCTCGGATGTATTTCAGAAGTCTAGAGCTTAGCACGGAGCAGGAGCTTAATAAATACTCGTTTAGTTAATAAGTGAGCGTGTGCGTGGTCTCAGGAATTTCTGCTTAGTTTGCCTGCGCCGCCTGTTCATTTGAGCCCCTGCTGTGCGCTAGTTCCGGGCAGAGCCTGGATTTAGGAAATCCCTCCTGAGCTCCGCGTGCTCCTACATGGGCGCTGTCATCTCTCACAGACGTGAGACGGCTTCAGGGAGGAGGCGGTGGAGAAGGAAGAGTGGGACAGGACGGATTCCCCACACTGAGCCCGGACACACACGCACACCCGGGGCTTCCTTTCGTTTTTTCTTCTTTTGGAGACAAGGTCTTGATATAGGGGAAATAGATGTAACTCCCAAACACGCTATAAATCTGAAACGCGAGTTCGTGTTGTCTAAAATCGAAGAATGGGCCGGAGATTTAGCTCAGTGGTTCCAGCGCCTGCCTCATAAATGCAAGGTCCCTAGTTCAGTCCCCGGTACCAAAAACAAAAAACTAAAATCGAAGAATGAATTCTAGGAACGATGGTGGGTAAGAGTAGGAAAAATTTATTGACAGAAAGCCTCTAAGAGAGACAGAAGGGGGACCACAAAGTGGGTCACCCACTCACCCAACTTCTCAAAGGTGTTTTTTTTTTTTGTTTTGGGGTTTTTTTGGTACCAGGGCTCGAACTCGGGTCTTTGTGCTTGCGCAGCAGGCGGTGAAACCACTGAGCTAAATCCCCGGCCCCTGTCAAAGGTGTTTTATGGGACAAAGCCACGAGGTGAGGCGGGTTCAAGGTGGGACAAAACTATGCTCAATTAATAAAATTTTGACAAGTATCATAGCTTAGGTAATATTAATGGGGACCCAGTGGGGAAGCAAGTCACGCCGCAAGCATACAAGGAACGAGCTCAGGGATCTTTCTTGGAAGACCTTGGGCCCCCACCCAGGTGATTGATACCTAGAGTATCAGTCACTGCTATTCACCCTATGCTGGTGTGGTAGTTACAATGCTGGCCTGCAGTGAGTGTGTCTTGATTGTCCAGGTTGGCTCCTTGTGGGCTGGCCCTGTCTAACTGCCCACAAGATATCTAACTTACCTCTCTACAATAGTCTATGTAGTTCACACTGGCCTCGAACTCGTGGCAGATCTTCATGCCTCAGCCTCAGGAGTGCTGGGATTACAGGTGAGGCCACCTTCATTGGTTCATTTTGACTTTCAGTCCCTCAGTTAATCTGGTCCTCATCCAGGGCTGGAAAGTAGCCTGCGGTTTTTAAAATCACTTAACCCATTATTGTGTATAACGAAGATGAGGTAATAAAAAAAGGAACTCATGCTTGTCAGAAGAAATTGCTAATTGACTTGGACTCACACCTGGAGCTCAGATGGCCTGCTTGCAACACGGTTTAGCAGCCTTTATGTGCCACTTGGTTGTTTTGATGCTGCGGGTTGGACCCAGCGCCTTGCACGTGCCTAGCAGTTCTGCCACTGAGCTATACTTTGGGGCCTGCATTATTGGTTCAGTCCAGACAGGGAACCCCTCCGGTTCAAGCCAAGGATTTCCTCCCAGCCAGCCTTCTGTTTTGAGACTTGGTCTTGCTGTGTAGTTCAGACTGGCCTCAAACTCATGGTCGTCCTGCCTGCAGTTACAGGTGTGCGCCACCAGGGCTTGCAGCTTATCCTGACAACCCCGGTTTACCATTTGGAGACACCCCTTCTCTCCCGGCTGGGACAGGTGCCTCTTCCGGATCCAGAACCCCTCGTCCCCTCCTGGTGGCCCCCAGCCTGGTGGACTGCTGTACTGTCCAGTCAGTGACAAACTTAACACTTCCTTGAATCACTTTGAGGTTCTGAATGCTCTGTCTCTAACTCCCCTCCACCCAGGCCCGCACAGAACTGCTCCGGAAGAAAGCCAGGCAGCAGAATCCACTGCCCGCGCTCCAGGCAGCAGAGGCGGGAGCTCCAGGTTCCGGTCCCGTGGACCTGTTTCGGGAGCTGCTGGAGGAAGGAAAAGGGGCGGCCGGAGGAAACAAAGAGTACGAGGAAGAGAAGCAGCAGGAGAAAGTAAACTGGCCTCACCCGAGGGCAGGGCGGGATGCCCCCCCCCCAGTCCTCACCATGCCTAAGGGGTAGTGATGAAGATAAAGTGTGCACGCACCTGGCTGCTGCACTCCTGCACTCGCATGCCCTGTGAGAGGCTGCAGCCCTCTGCTCCCTGACATTCGAATCCGTGCCCTTCACCCCCCTGCTCTGGCATTTCCTGTCGGACTCTGAATTGGCCACTGGGCCCCTCATCCAGAGCCTGGGCCCTGGGGTCGTCCCCTCCTCTCCTTGCCCATTTTCCTTCCTGCGCCTGCACCTGGTTTCCGGTCCATGTCCCACGCTCCTGAGGGACTGAGAAGGCTGTGTCCCCTTCCTCTGTGTCTGCGCCCACAGGAGAGACAAGAGAAAGCCCTGGGCATCCTCACCTATCTGGGCCAGAGTGCAGCGGAGGCCCAGACGCAGCCACCCTGGTACCAGCTCCCCCCGAAGCGCGGGGCCCTCGAGCTGGGCCCAGGGCCAGATGAGAAGATGAAGAGTCGCCTGGACCCGTTGTGCGAGATGCAGAAGCATCTGGGGAGGAAGAGGAAGCACGGCCGAGAAGAAAGCAGCCTGGCCCGGAAGGGGAGGAAGGAGGGGCCCAAGGAGTAAGAGCCAAGACCCAGCCACAGCAGGCCAGGCTCGGCCATAGAGCAGGCAGTGCAGACAAGTGGTTCTCAGCCCGGGCCTGGACCCGAGCACGGCCACTGCCGACAGCTAATGCCACTGGCCCTGTGCCCACAGTTTGTTTTCATTTCTGATTCACTGTATGTCAACAGATAATCTGATTTCTTTTTTTTTGTTACCAGGGATCAAACTCCGAACTCAGGACCTTGCGATTGCAAGGCAGGCGGTGAAACCACTGAGCTAAATCCCCGACCCAAGAGATAAATCTACTTAAAAGGCTTTGAAGCCCTGTTTTAAAGAGTGTTGCTGGGTAGTGGTGCACACCTGTAGTCCCATCACTCAGGAGGCTGAGGCAGGAGGATCACTGAGAGTTCAGAGCCAGCCTGGACTATATAGCGAGACCCGGAAGAAAGAAAAAAAGTATAAAGGAGTCCTGAGACTAGAGTTTGAGAACTGCTGGGTTAGGAGAATAGAAGCAGGTTTACCCCCTGCACTGTTAGAGCCCTAAGTTAGAGGGTGATTCACGACTAGTCTACTACAGAAGGGGAAACAGCCAGGCATGGTGGCAGTGCACTTAGGACCCCAGTTCTTTGGGAGGCTGAGGCAGAAGACCACAAGTTTGAGCCCAGCTTTGGCAACTTTGTGACTGTCTCAAAATACTAGAACTTTTTAAGAAGGGCCAGAGGGCCAGGGATCTAGCTCAGTGGTTTCGCCATCTGCTGCGTAAGCACAAAGATCCAAGTTCGATCCCTGGTACCAAAAAGAAGGGCCAGGATGTAGCTCAGCATAAGGGCCCTGGGTTCAACCCCTAGTACCACAGAAAACGGGCGGGGAACCAGGGCGCTGCTGCTGTGACCTGCAGAACCAGTTACCTCAGAACTGGGGGGCCAGGTGGCTGGGGGGCCCTGGTCAGTGGCAGCTCCCTGCAGCCCCTTGCTCCCCCACAGGCCCCCATCACTGGACCGGCTCCGCGCTGAGCGTCTCCGGCGGGAAGCAGCAGAGCGGGCTCGGGCAGAGGCCCTGCTGGCCCGGGTCCAAGGCCGGGCACCCCAGGAGGACGACAAAGAGGAAGAGACAGATGATCGGCGCCGGCGGTACAACTCCCAGTTCAACCCCCAGCTGGCCCGGCGCCCCCGCTGGCAGGGTGCCCCTCTTTCGCAGTGACTCGAGGGGGTACAGGAGAGGCTGCTGCTGCCAGCCGTCATATAAAACTATTTATTCATAAATATTTTCCAAAATGAAAATAGGTTTACCAAAAAATGTCCCTCGCTGGGGAGGGGAGGAGGGGCAGCCCTCACCCCGGGCCCCAGGGTGGGGCTGAGGAAGAGGACCTTCTGGGCCCTCCCGGCTTCCTGGGGAGGGGTGCCTGGCCAGGGCCCCGGCTTCTGGGCGAGGCCCTCACCTGGGCAGGGGCGTCAGCATGCGGGGAGGTGGGTGGAGGGCCGGTGTCACTGGAGGTCCCGGTCCTCCAGGTAGCGGTACTCGAAGGTGAAGCCCTCCTTCTTCCGCTGGCCCCACTTCTCGTAGTCAAAGTAGATGTAGGTGCCCTGGCAGGGAGGAGGTGGTCAGTGAGGAGTGTGGAGGAGGCAGGGAGTGGCCTCCTGGATGGCACGCCCTGTGCTGCCCATGCCCGCCAGAGCAGGACAGCGTGGTCTGGGGCTCTGCAGGGCGGCGCTATTGCCAGGGCACTGCCCGGAAGCGCGGGGACTGCAGCAGCGCAGGGCAGGAAGCCTGTGGTCCAGGCTGAAGAGGGCTTGGGAAGGGACCTGGGCCCAGAGTGTGTGAAATGCTTCCAAGCAGCGGGCGGCCTGAAGGAGCGGGCAGGACAGGACAGGACAAGGCCACGAGGGGCTGGCAGCTGAGAATGTGTGGGGAAGGCGCCGGACATGCAACAGGGAGACTGAAGCAAGCAAAGCACCACACCCGTGATGCACACCACACCGTCAGTACTGGCGCGCTGTGAACTCACTCAGTCCTCTAACAACCGCACCAGGCTGTTGCCCTGTACAGACGGGGCTCACCGCCCAGGCGGGCAGGGGTGGGGGGGCCTGGGACCCAAAACCCTGCCAAGGGAGGCACTCGGCCACAGTGCAGAGGGGTGGCTTGGGGAGGCCTTGCTGGGGCCGGAGCTGGCTGAGGGGCCTCACCTGCTCGAACTCGTCGGTGATGGTCTTGGGCTCCTCGTGCCTCTGGAACCACATCATGTACTTGGTGTGGAACCGCCACGACTGCTTCTTCAGGGCCTTGGCCGCCAAGTACTGCGCCTTGGTGCCCTGCGGACCGACAAGAGCGGAGGGGATCAGGGGTGGGGTGGGCACCGGGTCGGGCTGCGGACAGCCCATGTGGGGACAGCATGGGGCACGGAACATACCCCTGTTGGCCAGAAGAAAAATGAGACAGGAGTGGAAATTGCTTTCAGAGAAGCTTTGCAAAGGAAGAGAAACTATGGCGCCATAAGCAGACGATGAGGAAACCATGTCAGGCGGGGAAGGGGCAGAGGATCTGGAGGCCCGCAGGGCTCAGGGAGGTGGAGGGCTCCCCAGAGGGCCCAGGCTGACGGGGCACTGGCGGCTGGGGAGCTGGGACCAACGGCAGAGCCAGCCTCTCCCCAGCTGGGGCAGCCTGACACCTGGGGCGGGCAGGGACCAAGACAGGGCGGGGTGGGCGGGGGCTGGGGCAGGGGAGGGGTGCGGTCCCGGGGCGCAGCGGGGCACCCACCTCGCCCCTCCAGCCCGAGGGGGGACGGCGGCAGTGGCGGCGGAGCCGGGGGGCCCGAGGCTGCCCCGGGGACCCTGCTGTACCTCCAGATAGTAGAAGATGAAGAAGAGCGTCTCGGTGGACAGGCGCTGGTAGAACTCCACGGTGTCCGAGTGTGGGGGCGGCATCTGGTGGTGGTAGGGGGGCGTCGGGCAGGGGTTCCGGGGGAGGTACTGCCTGTGGAGGGCGGGGGTCAGTGCCAGCTGCCTTGGGCTCCTGCCCGGCCTCGGCCTACTGAGCAGCGTCCCAAGCCAGGCTCAGGCTCCAGCTGCTTCTTCGTACTCGGCACCAAACTTGGGGAGTGTGGAACTACAACCCAGACCTCCTGTATGAGGTAGGTAGGGTCTTGCCAGGTAGCTCAGGCTGGTCTCAAACTGGCGACCCTCCTGACTCAGCCTCCCGAGCACCTGGGGTTGCAGGTGTGTCACCACGCCGCAGTCAGAGGACCTGGGAACCCACCCCCAGCCGTGGCCCCCGCTCACCGGATGCGCTCAGAGTCGGAGGGGTGGGGCATGTGGTGCCAGGCGGCCTCCTCCATGACCTGCTGGTACAGTTGCTCCTTGGTGAGGGGCACCGGCCCCAGTGGGCACACACCCAGCGACAGCGGGATGTTCACCTCCGACAGCTGCAGGGCTGGCTGGGCTGAGGCAGGGGGCGCCGAGGTGCCGCTCAGGATGATGTCTGGGGAGGGGAGGGGAGGCCATGGTGGGGCCGGGCAGGCCTCGCCCTCCCTGCCTGCCCCGCCTCCCCACAGGCCCCTCACCTCGCTCGGTCAGGTGTAACGCGGGCACAGGGTCCTCGATGCCCGAGCTGATGGCTGCCCGCTCCGCCATGGACTTCAGGGAGCTCAGGGGCTCGGGGGCCTGGGAGGAAGGGCAGTAGCTGAGGCCAGCGAGCCCAGCTATGGGCCCCAAGCTCCACTCCAGCTCAGAAAAGCCTGGTGGCTGTGGGAAGCCCGCTGTGGACTCTAGAGGAGCTCATGACACACCTGGAGGTGCAGAAGCCCAGGACGGCAGGGTACCCCTCCTCCTGGAAGGCCCCTCTGGAGTGCCCTGGCGAGTAAGGGCTCTCTGGGGGCTGCGGTGACACTGACCCCTCGGGACACCAGGCCGGGCCTCACCCTCACCCATCAGGGCAGTGTCCGATCTGAGCCCTGCACATCCACACCCCTGGGACGCTCACGGTCTCCCCACCCAGCCCAGGATGCCTCTGAAAGGCAGCGCTTTCCCCTTCCCAGACACACACACACCCCGTCCGTCACCCGCCTCTCCTAGGCTGCCCTACAGCGCCTGCAGAATCCATGCGGCCAGTGTAGCCTCGGTCCCTGCTCTGCGGACAGGACAGCCCCTGTGGCCCGGTGGTCACGCTCAGCCACCTGACAATGCCCAGCCAAGAGCCAGGCTGCCTTCAGCCGGCACAGAGTGGCCCGAGTCCTGGACTGCAAGGCCCTGAGCAGGGGCTGCCTGGAAATGGGCCCCGAGGAGCAGAGGCGGCGCACGTGCAAGGACAGGAGGACAGAGCCCAGGAAGAGCCCTCGAGCTGCACGGCCAGCCGGAGAAGGAAAAGCCCAAGGCGATGCAGGGAAAGCCCAGAGAGCCCAAGGGGCAGAGCCACAGCCGGGGGTGGGGGGGCAGAGGGGCCGTGGCAGGCAGATGCCGCAGCTGGGCACTGGGGTGCTCACCTTGATCTCGGGGGCGCTGCTGAACTGCGGGGGCCCGTTGAGCAGGGCACCGGCCGCCTTGGCCTCACTGAAGCTGGGCGTGGGAGAGCTGGGGGGGTTCACGGGCAGCGGCACCAGGAGGCTGGGGCCCCCAGAGTTGTTCCCTGAGCCGGGGGCCACACCCCCAGCCCCCGTTGGGGCGGCTGCACTAGGCTCCTTCCTGGGGAAGAGAGGGGAGGGGGAGGCTCAGAGGAAGGCAACGAGGGAGGCAGCATGGGGGCTGCAGAGCGGCTCTGAGGGGCGTGGAGGTGGGGACCGGGGACACAGAGCCTCAGGTGCTCCAACAGCCGCAGACCGACGAATGGAGGCCAGCTGCGCACGGCGGGCACGCCGGTGATCCCAGCACTCAGGAGGCCGCGGCAGGAGGATCCCTGTGAGTTTGAGGCCAGCCTGGGCTGCAGTGAGTTTAAAATCAGCCTGAACTACATAGCGAGACCCAGTCTCAAACAACAAATAAAACAAAACAAAACAAAAGGACACAGCATGGTTACAGAGGTATGGAGCAAATGTTCCAATCACAAAACAAGCAGCCTTGGGCAGGGAGGGCTGGGGCGAGGGACAATGGGCCGAGGGTCTTTCCTCCAGCACAGACAGTGGGCCAGTGGGGTTTCTGGCCCAAGGTCTGGGGCGGCTGCAGACAGCTCCTTTGGGAAGCAGAGCAAGGGCCCCTCCAGGGGTGCTAAGAAGTCCCGACTGGAGGACATGATTCAGGACAGTGGTGGCGGACCTACGGCACGCATGCTGCAGCGAGCTTGTCATCACTGACACCCTAAGAGGATCCCTCTGCTGTTTAGGGTGCTCTCAAGGACAAGGCAAGCCAGGCACGGTGCTACAGGCCTGTGATCCCAGCACTCACTCAATAGGCTGAGGCAGGAGGATCCTAAGTTCGAGGCCAGCCTGAGCTACATAGTGAAACCCTGACCCAAAGGCAAGGCTGGAGGCAGATGTGCACCTGCCCCAGGTGGAAGGAAATGGGGACAGGACATCAGTCCAGGTGGAAGCCCACCCAGCAGGATGGGCCTGCACCTGCTGCCAGACACTCACGCAGTGCTGGGAGGCGGGTTGTGCGGGCCTGAAGGGGGGCCCAGGGCCTGGCTGCTGGCGCTGCTGCCCCCGCTGCTGCTGAGGGCCACCTCTGCGGGGCTGTCTGCCACGACGGAGCTGTAACCTAGGGAGGGCAGGGCGAGTGGCAGGCTGTGGGCCACCCCGGCCCTGCCCGAGGCCCGACCTCCCACTGACCTCCCACTGCCGAGCCCCAGCCCACTTACTGGTGGCGCCGTTCTGCTTGCCAGCCCCTCCGCCCGCACCACTGTTACTGCTGCCGCCCGCCCCTCCGGCGCTGCCACTCGCGGCACCAGGCTGGGCGCTGGGGGGCCGGGGCTGGGCGGGGCTGGGCCCGGGGGTGGGCGGGGCCACAGCCTGGGCGTAGGGAGCAGGGGTGCTGGGGGCTGGGCTGGCCTTGGGGCCCAGGGCACTTGGCGGTGCTGCCGGGGTGGGGGCCCCATTGCTGCCAGGGGCAGCACTCAAGGCAGAGGTGGCAGGTGGGGGCCCCGAGGGGTAGGGAGGCGGCACGGCTGGGGGCTGGGGGTGCTGGCTGCTGTGGACAGGCTTGGAGCCATTTTTGGCTGGAGACTGCAAGGAGAAAACATAAATCAGAGCGGGGTGGGCAGGGGGTCCCAGGCCTGCGCATGCCGAGGGCCACCCAGGGACCGGACACCGATGCCAGGTGTCTCCACCCCGCCCTGACCAGGGCTTAGCTGGGGGACACAGACAGCAGTCAGTGCTCTGGCTGTCCCTAAGGGTCACTGAAGCCCCTCCAGCAAGTGGCTGCCGGCGTCCCCAGGGCGCGTGGCTGAGGGAACTCGGCTGCTGCACCCACATGCCCCAGACTCTCCGCCGTGCCGGGTCTGTCTCAGCCTCTGCCCTCGGGGCAAACAGCTCTTCCTCACACGCCCGCCCATGCTGGGAGGCAGCAGCAGGGGGTACAGGGCTCACTGGGGGCCGAGGGACTGGAGAAGTGCTGCCCACCCACCCAGGACCGCACTGTGCCCGGTCCCGGCCCATGGCTTGGCTTTCCTGGCCCCTTCGGAGCTGGTCCAGAGCCCGAGGCCAAGGGCCCACAGGTGCAGGGCGCCTCACCTCTGAGCCCAGCACCAACAAGCAAGCAACAGGCCTGCCAGCTGCTGCAGACCCACCTGGCTGACCTCACTGTCGGTGGAGCGGCCCCTCTTCTTATCATCTTCAGAGTTCTCCTGTGACGAGGAACAGAGTCAGAGAGCGGCCACGCCCCAGTTCTGCAGGCAAACCCTGTACCGGCCGCTGCTGCCCCACACCGGGGACCCAGTGTGGCCCAAACCTTCGCAGGGCACCAGGTCCCCTGCTGGCTCCTCCGTAGGTCCAGGAGGCCCAGGAGGCCCCAGCTGGCCCAGAGCCAGACCCTGCTGCCGCAGTGCAGACCGTCCTCACCGTGGTGCAGTTGGCTGGGCTGGGCGGGATGGGAGAGCTGGAGGTGGTGGACGTGGGCGTGCTGCTGGACTGATTGAAGATCTCGTCCTCCATGTGGCTGTGGCTGGGGGGGGAGGTGGCGACCAGCGCCTGTGCTGTGGGGGCGGGGGGGGGCGTGCTCAGAGGGGGCCTCAGCCCCTGGCCCACCCGCTGCGCAGTGAGGGGTGGCCCAGGGCCTCACGAATGTCCTCGAGGTCCAGGTCATCGTAGAGAAACTCATTCTCCTCGAAGTCAGGGTCCTGAGAGGAGTCGACGTAGTACTCGACGTCATCCTTGATCTTGCGGATGGCGTCCACGAGGATGGAGTCGTTGTCCAGCATGCGCAGGATGGTCTCCAGCATGCGCACGTGGTAGCGGTGCTTCTCGATGTGACGCTTCAGGCCCTCAATCCGGTCCTGCTTCTGCTGGCGAGCCCAGGGCCAGGCTCAGGGGCAGCAGAGTGCCTGTCCGGCCCCCCTGCCCCACAGAGCCCGTCCTCAGTCCCCAGTCCCCACGGCGACCAAGCTGAGGCTCCCGACATCTCGGGGGTCCCGTCACTGCCTCCGCAGATCATCAGCTCTGCAGATCCCGGAAAGCTGTGAAAGACCCAGGGCTCTATGCCACCCCACTCAGCCTATCTGCACCTCACCTGACACGGACCGCCCCCTGCTCTGACCTCCTCCCGGGGTCCCCCCACCCGTCCTGCTGCAAGAGTAACAGTGACAGTCCCCGGCTACTTACAGCCACAGTACTGTCACCGCGGCTCACACCCAGGCATCACCCACAAGAGCCCAGAGTCAGAAGCCTAGCTGCTGCCCAATCTGAGGCCCCACTGCCCTTCCCTATCTGACACCTCAGCCTCAGCCGCAGTCCCTCCTCTCTGCAGGGACCCACTGTCCTGTCGTCCCTCCGAGTCCCGCACCTCCGGCTGACACGGACTCCCGCTCAGTCTCCCTGCTAGCTCCCTGGGGACCCCAGCAAGCAGTCTGCACACTCTGACTTGCACCCTGCTCCTGCAGGCAAGGGACCACAGACCCCGACCACGCCACTCCGCCCATGTTGCCCTCTCCTGGGAACCTTGGGCACTCCAGGCACTGTGCAGCCCCCTGGCCCGGCTGTCCCTCCCCTCACGAGCTCTGGGCCCACTGAATCAAGTTCCTCTTTAAGCGCTCCGCCCGCCTTCTGCTGGCCGCCTGGCCTGAGCAGACTCGGCCCACCTCTGCTTCCAGCCCGGGCCGCCCCCTGCAGGCAGCCCCCACTCACATCCTTGTCACCCTTCTTCTTGCGTGTCTGCACTGACAGAGACTCCACCTCGCTCTCAAACTGGTCCACCTGCATGTTTAGGGTGTCGATGGTGTTCTGGGGTGGGGAGAAGAGGTGGTTAGCCAGGGCTGGCGCATGCTGGGCCGGGCCCCAGCGCAGCCCCTCAGCGGCCCCGCTCACCGTGAGCCACTGGCCAACCTCTTCCTTCTCCTTCTGGGCAGGGTCCACCTTCTGCGCCAGACCCAGGCCCTCCTTGCTGTAAGCTTTGGTCTTGGTCTCTCGCTCCACAACTTTGAACCGTTCCATTTGCTGTGGAGAGTGCAGTTGGCAGGGGGCTCTTGAAGGCGGGAAAGGAGCTGACTAAGGGCCAGTGACACTCAAACCTGAGCCTCGGGGACCCCCACCCCCGCCCTGGGCCATTGCCCCTGCCCTTGCTCCTCCTGGGACCTCCTGGGTCTGGCTGGTCCGCTGCCCCCCGGGTTCCAGGGACACATACGGCCACCGCCAAGCCTCCCAGCCCCGGCTCTGGGCTCCTACCGTCTCGATGAGTTTTCGGTTGTCTATGAGCTGCCGCTTGTCCTTGATCTCATTGGAGGCGACCCATGTCTTGATCTGGTCCCTCAGCCTCTGCAGATGAGAGAGAGACATCAGCCCCTCGGCCCTGGGAACTGGGCCCTGGCCTTCTCCCCGACTTCCCCACAGGACACAGGAGGCCAGCCCCAGGCCCTCACTTGTAGCTTCTTAATCTCCTTCTTCAGGTCAGCCTCATACTTCTCCTTCTGGTTCGCATTGGCTGCATTGTGGAGCTGAGGATGGAGAATTTAGCAGTCAGTGTGGGAGTGGCTGCCTGGACCCCTTCCTCTTCCCTGGGCTGGGAGTCAGGGACCCCCACCCACCCCACCCATCTTAGAGATACTTCGCACAGGTCCTCAGCACAAACCCTTCTCCCAGGTCAACCCCTGACCTCTTCCGGTGCTTTCCCCAGACACCCAGACTTTTAGGCCGCCTGCCCCGTACCTTCTGCCAAATGTCCTCAAACTGCTCCACGCCCTCGGACACCTTCTTCAGGCAGCGATCAATCTCACCTGGCGGGGAAGGAGGCAGGCTGTTAGGGCCCCGAGACTCCGGAGGAGAGCAGGGCCGCACGCGGGCAGCACCCGTACCTTGGAGTTTGCGCTTGTCCGCCATCTTCCTGCCCTACGGACGCGCTCTCTTCATACTCTCCTGGGGACACTGCGGGGACGGGAGGGGAGGGGAGAGGCAGGCGAGGCGTTACCAACTCTCCAGTTGTTCCGGACCTGGGGCGGCGCAGGTGGGAGGGACCAGGACCAGGAGGGTGCTGGGTTTCCAAGGAAAGACCGGTGGAGTCTTCGAGTGGGCCTCCCACCCAGGAAGTGGGAAGCTCCTAGAATACGCCGCCTCTTTTCCCCAGTCCACACTCAAAGGAATTTTCAGAGCGGGGCCAGTCACACGGTCACTTCAGACACGGCAGGAGAAGCCGGCACCGGTACCTCACAGACACCGCGCGCGTTCACACATGTGAGCTGGGGAGGTGGAAGAGGGCGACAAGCACTGCCCAGGGCCATGGAGGGCTGGACCCACTGCGGCCAGGTGGGCCCCAACCGGAGGGCCAGGGCCTCCAAGTCTATGCACAACAGAATCCTCGACCCAAAAGGATCGCACTCCCACCCCCGAGCCCGGCTGCAGGAGGGTTGGAGATGGGTGGCCGGAGGCAGTCTTCCGGGAGGACCAGGGGAAGACAGAAATCTTTCAAAGACAAGAGGCTGGAAAGGTACCTTAGCTGGGAGCTGCACACGTGAGACAATTCCGTATCAAATGTACTGGCAAGTTACACTCACTCAGAGAAACCTAAGCTATAGGGCAGGCACCCAAAACATCTCTGCCCTGAAGGAAGCTGTACGCAGCCTAGAGGACTGCGGTCAAGGGAAGCCACCCCACCAGGCCTGACACTGTGAGCAGGGAACCTAGCAAGGGGCTGGGCTGTGCGGAGGGCTTGGGCTGCGGGCAGAAGCTGCACCCCGAAAAGCAGGGTTCTGCGACCTGGGGGCTTCCACTGGCCCCGGGCAGGTGCCCAGGCTAGCCCCCACCACAAAGCAGAGACCGCCCACACGCAAGACTCAGACCCTTAACAGACAAACCAAGGTGACCCTTGCAGACGAGGAGGGGACCCCTGAAGAGAACCACTGTGATCCACAAAACACGGCCACTGCTCACGCTCGAGATGCAGAAGCTGAGATTTTCCGGCTCACTGTAACTTCTTACTAACAGCCACGTGGGGCTGGGTAGGAGGCTTCGGGACAGGAGGCCTGGGAGGAACAGGTCCCTGTTCTGGGTGGAAGCAGGTAGGCAGGGCTGGTATAAGACTCAGGGGCTCAGCCTTCCTCAGCAAACGGCCCATCAAGACAAAGACCAGTGCCCTCAGCCCAGGCAGCTGGCACATCACACATGGGCGCCTCCAGGGGGCACAGCAAGCAGTGAAGGACCCAGGAGACAGTTCCACAGTGGACTCCAAATGGCTGGGGCGGCCACCTCTGAGGCGGGGAGCTCAGCCAGGGACCTGGACACCAGCATGAGGGGTACAGGGACCTGGCCAACAAAGAAAGCCTCTTCCCACAGCAGGGACAGAGCTCACCCTCCCTCTCTCCCCAAGAGCCCGACAGAGAGCCCCTGGCAGGCACTCCAGCCCAGAACACGGCCCTCAGGCTGCGCCCCTGAACCCAGCACTCTACACTCGGGATGATGCCTCAGCAAGCCCCCTCCCCGCAGGAACTGGGACCCCAGCACTGGGGAGGAGGCGAGTGTCCTGTGGCAGCAAGAACTCTCGAAGGAGTCAGGCCCAAGGTGCCACAGAAGAGGAAGGTCCTGGGGCGACACTCCAGATACCAAAGTGGGCATAGCTTGACCAGCAAGGAGCATCCTGGTGGGAAACACAACAGCTCCACAGAGAAGGATGAGTGCCGCGGGGACCTGGTGCCTCAGCCGCAGTGGAGGCAACAGCGCCTGCTCCATCACGCCCCACACGGAGAGGGCACCGGTACCTCAGACCCCGGCAGAGGCAGGGGAAGGAGGCCGGCGCTGCACCAAGGAAGAGCCCATGGGCCTAGAACCCCACCAGGCCCCTCCTGGGGAAGTAACCACTGCAAGGCCTCTAGAGGCAGGCAGGGCCTCCACAGAAGCAAGTGTGCTTGGACAGCAAGGGGGCCCACCCAGCAGAGAGATCGGGGACCCCTGGCCCAGGAGGCTCTGCCATGAGGACCTGTGTTCAAGAAGGAGGCACACTAAAGGGGCAGGTGTCTGAGCAGCACATCAACCCCACAGAGCCAGCGCCAGCAAAGAGCCTGCAGAGCTTCACGTCAGGGGACAGGAGCCTGAGCACAGACTCAGTGAGGGAGACCAGGCTTGGGCCCTCACACTGGGGCAGTCTTGTGCGCACACAGGGTCCTGGACTGTGGTAGCGGCTCATGCTCTTCGCAGGGAGCTTGGGAGCACTGTGGGACGTGGAGCCTTGATGTCCGGGAGGCTGCCAGCGCTGCCACACAGAGGACTCACAGTTCCAGGAGGAGCATGGGTCAGGACCTGGGTAGGCCCAACACCAAGCTGGGGGCTGCGAACCCCACCCTGGAAAGTTACACTCTAGGGAAGGGGACTAGGGTGAGGTCCCCCCGCCCCGAGTCTCAGGCACCCTGCACGAGCCACAAGAAGCCTTCGCCTTAGTCTCACATGGTGACAAATCACAAGAAAGATGGTGAGGGGCCGGGGATTTAGCTCAGTGGCTTTGCCACCTGCTGCGCAAGCGAAAGGACCCAAGTTCGATCCCTGATACCAAAAAAAAAAATAGAGGGTGAGAGGCATTAGTCAGGGTCCCCCACCCCAAGGGGGTCCCCAACCTCGGTGGGGACACACACAGCGGGGATGGGACACCTGGAACCCAGGTGGGATGCCAACGCAGACACCAAAGCAGACAGAAACCTTAGCCCTCGGGGCACCAACACTACACAAGTGGGTTGTCGCCCCAGCAGGACCCCCGAGAAAAGGTCCTCTTCAGCCTGGGAAGCCTCACATCCCAAAGGGTGCAGGTGGGGGACGGAGGACAGGTGCAGGCCCTGGCGTCTCAGTGATGGGTCGGTCACACATCCACAGGGGGGCTCTGACAGCGCCACCAACAGGCGCAGGGCTCTGGGCACGGCGACACCTCAGAGAAGGGGTGGAAGTGAGTGGGGGTACGCACTGAGACGCCGGGAGGCGACAGCCGGTGTGGTGCGGGGTCAGCGGGAAGGAGTCCGGGAAACGCTTAGCGCGGGAGGCTAACCCGGGAGGTGACAGCCCGGGTACCTAGGGACAGCTGGCACTTAGCACGAGCACTGCCCACCGCGGAGCTCAGCATCACCAAGCGGTGGGGCCCAGCGGTCTCCAGGACACCCGGGAGACACAGCCCCGGATCCTGACACCGCCAGAAAGCCCACGCCCGCCGGGAGCCGGGAGCTGACCGGAAGCGGGCGGCGGCGGCAGAAACTTTGGCGGCGGCACCAACTCGTAGCGGCGCGGGTTCGCGCGGCACCGATCGAGGCGGGCAGGCAGCCGGGCCGGGAGGGGGCGGCACCCGCGGGCTGCGGTACGGGCTGCGGGCGCGGGGACGCGGGGCGCGGGAGCGCGGCGGCGAGGGCAGGGCGGAGAGGCCGGGTCGCGACGGGCGGCGGCGGCGGCGGCGGCGGCGGGGGAGGGGAAGGGGTCCGGCCCAGTCGAGCCTGACGCTCTCACCACAGGAGCTGGCGCCGCCGCTGAGGAGCTATCGCGACAGGCGGGGGAGGCGAACGCCCGCCGCCTTTTTCTCGCGCCCCGGACCTTTGAGCGCTGTCGCGATAACGGCGCGAAGCGGAAGTGGGGTAGGGGGAGTGGGCCCAGGGTTGTTCTGACGACGGGGGTCTGGACTCAAGGGAGGCAGCGGCGTCGGCCGATGGCTCCGCGGAAGCTGACCGGGCCCGGTCCAAGATGGCGGCGGCGGAGGAGGCCTCCCCTCCTCTCTTCTCGTCTCTGGCGCCGGCCCGCCCCCGAGCCCCGAATATAGGCCCATCATTGCTCCTGCCTCACGTCGCTCTTAATCGGAGGACGCATCTTATTGGCTCTTGGTAGGGATGTGGCCGACCCCCTCCCGTGTATTGGGTAATAGCTACAAGGCGCAGCGTTCGATTGGCCTGCCGCACAGCCTGCTAGGATTGGCTCAGGTTTTCTTTCCCGCTACACCTCCTCCTCCCGCCTCGGGGCACAACACGCCAGCGCGAGGACCTGCATGTCAATCAGGAGGGCTATGTGGTGCTGATTGGATGTACCCGCCCCCCTCTCCTAAAGCAATTGGTCAGAGGGAGGAGCTAGGCTGATCAGGGGCGGGAAGTCGTCCGTCAAGTTTGGAGCCGTTTTTAATTGGTCACGAATATTCTTCTTCTCTGAAACCATTGGTTGGTCCTGAAAATGAGTGGGGAAAGCGGGGGAAGGCAAGGAGAGTCGGTTAGAGGCGGTGTATCTAAAGAGAGACGGACAGCCGGGGATTTAGCTCAGTGTTGCTACCGCCTGCCTCGCAAGCGCAAGGCTCCGAGTTTGATCCCCGGTACCCCCCCCTAAAAAAAGAGACGGACAGCTGCCGTCAAAGTAGGGGGGCGACATTTGCCAATCAAAACAGCCACGGGGCCAAGGGGGCGGAGCTGGGCGGCAAGGACCACCCCTTTCCCTTCTCTGGCCCTGACTGGTGTAGTTCATCTCAACTTGGCTAATAGCGCAGCGAGGGGCGGCACCTGCGCGTAGAGCGTGCGACCGAGGCTGCAGACTCCAGGTGCCGGCTGCGGAGTACCTAGTGGGTCGCCCGCGCCCCTGCCCGGGTAGGCGCGTCCCACCTCTGAGCTGTTTTCTTTCTCCAAGCGCCTCTGCTTGGCACTTCTCTGAACCTCAGAATTTGCCGAAGGAAAGAAGGGAGGCAGGCACCAGAGACAGCGCCCCCAAGTCCCGGGCACCGCGCAGAGTAGAGTTGCTTGGGGAGCTCTAGGCGTGTAGTGTCCCGCCGCGCCCCCAGGACCTGGGACAGCCCACTCGTCCCCGTCTGCGCTCCCTGACCTCCCGGACCGAGCGCTGCTGTGAGCCCTGTTCCCTCAGATTCGCTTTTGCGGGTATACTGTCATTTCCTATTTACTTGGGTCCCCCATATGGATTTTAGCACTCAGTAGGCGCTTGCCGAAGAAAAGAGGAGTGAATGTGAGCAATGATTTCTGGGGCACTGCGCGTGCCCGAACTGGGAGCCACTTGTCCAGGGTCATGCAGTGGAAGCCAGATTTGTCCCCCTCCTCTAAGTGGAGGAAAATAAGGCAAATGTAAGATTGAAGCAAGCTTGAGACTTACGAGCCACTCAGAATCACAAGGCAGCCAGAGATGGTGCACACCTGTGATCACAGCACTCAGGAGGCTGAGGCAGGAGGATTTCAATTTCAAAGCCAACCTGGGCTATGTTAAGAGGCCATATCTCAGGAATAAAAGAAAAAAAGTAAACAGATTCAGGAGCCCCAACAAGCTCCCAGGTGTGCTAATGGTCCATACTTCACACTTGGAGCTCCAAGGGCGCAAGGTGGAGTTCTCAGGTGTGCATTCATGGTAGAATCACCTGGGAAGCTTAAAACAGATGGGGTCAGGGATGTAGCTCAGTGGTTCCCACCACCTGCCTCGCAAGTGCAAGGTCCCGAGTTCAATCCCCGGTACCAAAACAAAAATAACAGATGCCCAGGCACCACTACACTAACTCCCTCTGCTGGGGCGGGCTGGGCATCAGTGACCTTTGGAGGTTCAGCCAGTGTGCGGCTTACCTAAGAGCTGCCTGCAGCACAGATTTTCTAGGGCGCTGGTCCTCAGTGTGCCCTGGGTCAGCAGTGCACATCACCCAGGGGTGTCTGACTCGAACCCCATCCTAACCAATCAGGATCCAACTAGGCCCAGCAACTTTTAACAAACCTTCCAGGTAGTCCTGGAACACTGAGTTGTTGGAAACAGGGTCTTGCTCATTTAAACCATGTGAGTCTGGCCATTGTCCTTCCCCTATCTCCAAAAAAACCTGCCTAGGCCGGGGATTTAGCTCAGTGGTTCTGCCACCTGCCTCACAAGAGCAAGGTCCCAAGTTCGATCCCCGGTTCCAAAAAAAAAAAAAGAAAAAAACCTGCCTAGCCTGGAGACAGCTCTTGGCCCAAACTGCTCTTCTAAATGAAAGCCAGAGCATTCTCAGCTTGGGGGCTCTTCTCCCAGTTTCCCTGATGGCTGGGAGAAACGGCCCCTCTGGGTCCCTTGGTGACTGAACCAAACCTCGACTCTAGGTAAACTTTTCATCCTCCACTCCACCCTGTCACTCACTGTGACAATCACAGCTCCCTAGGCCACCCCACTGCAAGAGTCAGCCCACAAGTTTGTCCCGACCAGGGGTGAATGAGGATTCAAGACACAAGACACAAAGATAATTTGGAAGAGGAGACCAGGGGACTCCTGCCTCTAGTGGATGGAGAGCCCCAAACAGTCTGAACAGACTCGGGGACCGAGAACACATCCCTGGGCAAATAAGCAGAGGAACCAAAGCGCTCACTTTCAAACAGCATGGACCTTAGGCTGGGCAGAACCTCCAGGGTGCAGTCTCTGAGGGTGGACGAGAGGCTGAGGTCCAGAGGCAGAGCCCTGAGCTGTGGGAGGGGCTGGGGTCCAGGGACTCCGAGCAGTAGTGACCGTTGCAGGCCCAGAGAAGCGAACAGAAAGAGCGAGATCTCAAAGACAGAATCTGGGAAGTGAGTGAGACCCCCTCTCAGATAACTGAGAAGCCTTGAGCAGGGCGTGGTGGTGCCCACCTGTGATCCCAGCCCTGGGGGGCTGAGGCAGGAGGGTCGCCAGTTGAACACCAGCCTGGGCTTCATCCGGCCTGAACCACATAGTAAGACCCTGTCTCAAAAGATGAAACCCTTGACCCCCTGCCGAGCCCAGTTCTGCCCTTCCGTAAGCTTTGCGGGGGTCACCTTGGTGTCATGACACCTCCCAGAGGGCCACACTGCTCCCTCAGGGGGACGCCGTCCCCCAGCCCTGTGAGCGCCCCTTTGGCTGGGCCCGCTGTGCACTGTGTGCCCGAGCTCCGGCTCCACCAGGGGTCTGACGAATGGCCACTCCCCCACAACAGACCTTGATGCTGTGCTTTTTTTTTTTTTTTTTTGGTACCAGGGATCGAACTCCGGACCTTCTGCTTGTGAGGCAGGCGGCGGAACCACTGATCTAAATCCCCAGCCCTCGATGCTGTGCTTTTAATTGTACTCTTTCCACAAAAAGCATCTCCTTTCCCAGGTAAAATAAAAAGCCTCGCCAAAGAGACCGGCTCTGCCCAGGGCCGGGCTCAGTCCTGGGCGCCTGTGAGGCGGGCGGCGGGCGGCTCTCTGCCGGAACCTCCTGATCCGGGTACAGTCCCCGGCAGGGCGGACCCAGGACGCGCTGCCTCAGGTGGACGTGATGCCGCTCTTCTCGCTCTTGACCTTGAGGAACTCGGCCATGCTGGAGAAATACTTCTGGTTGGCCTCGGCCACCTTCTTCTCCGCTGCCTGTGGGTTCACGATCTCCAGACCCTGGGCGGTGGGGTGGAGACAGGGTGACAGGAGGGGACCGGGACTTGCCAGGGTCCCCAGGCAGCAGGGCAGGAGGACCAGCTGCGGTCTCCGAGGGTGTCGACTCCAGAGGTTTGGACCTGACCGGGTGGTGGCGGGAAGGGGAGGGAGGCGCCGGGCAGCTGGGATGTTGCTGAGTTCCCCAAGTGATGCTAAAAGCGGCGCCCCAGCAAACCCTGTCCTGCCAGGCTCCCCAGGAGGCGGCGGCCCCAGTGGGGGGGCAGGCCTTGAGTTCTGGCACACAGGGCAACACCACAGACCGCGGTAACGGCCAGCACTGTTCTTTCTTTTTTCCAGTACTGCTGATGGAACCCAAGGCCTTCATAATGAGCTACATCCCCAGTCCCAGCCCTTGTTATTTTTTGAGACAGGGTCTTATAAGTTGCCCCGGCTGGGCTGGAACTTTCGATCGTCCTGCCTCAGCCCCCCAGTGCTCGGAGTACAGGCATGCACTGAGACCCCCATGTCCTCCTCTCCTGTTTCTCCCCGACACCTACCACCTATTCACTGTGGACTGCACTCCTCTGTGTCCATGAGGGCAGGGCCCAGAGAACAGTGCTGGGACCAGGGAGGCACTTAGCACGCTTTCTGGTGCGCGTGTGAGCTCACCAACCCTGACGTGAGGGGCCGACTGGCCTCACTGTGGTAAACTGAGGGATGGGAGGTACAGACACCCAGCTCCACACGGCTCGTCACTGCCGGGCTGGGACCTGACCTCAGGGGTGACACCAAGCCGGCCTGGCTGGGAACTTGACCGCTGGTGCAGCCATGAGGCCAGCCCGGCCACTCAAGGGCAGTGGTCCGGAAGCTTGGGGGTGTGGCCTGCTTGGAGCTGGGTCTCTGCATGAGGCGCTGGACCCTGCTGGGCACAGTGCGGGAGCTGCCTGGCCTGTCCACAGGCACAGCCTCCTGCCGCCCCAGCAGTAGCGCTTCACGGCAGAGGGGGAAGGGGCTCTGCGAGCCACCTGGGGCCGGGTACCTGGAGGGGGGTGAAAGCCACGCTGGAGGCGGTGCCCGAGGAGCGGTCGCGGATGGTGGACTTCCCGCCATACACCACGCTCTGCTTCTGCAGGGTCCGCTGCGGGAGGAGGAGGGCTGTGACCAGGCTCTCCCAGCCACCAGGCCCCTGGGCCCCAGCCTGGCCCGTACCTGCAGCGTCTTGGAGATCCTGGCCTTGGTGGCGTCGTTCACCTGTGTCTGGCGCACGCGCCCACTGCCCGACTTGCCGAGGTGGCCCAGGCTGAAGCCCAGGTCCTCCTGGTAGGCGTCCTCCTCGATCTGAGGGCAGGGGTGTCAGAGGTTGGGTGCTGGGCAGCCCCCAGCAGTTGCCTAGGCCTCATCTCGCGGCGCACAGGCAGGCACCGGCCCGGCCGAGCACCCAGGCCCAGCAGGCACCAGGTATCTCTGTCCTGCATGTGCGTGCTGGGCGTGGTGGGCGGGACAGGGTGTGGTCTTGGGTGGGGGTGTGCACAGCAGGGCACCCTCGCTGGCGGGGAGGGACCAGGGGAGCTGAGCCAGGGCAGCCCCGAGTGGCAGGCGGCTTTCGGGGTGGGGGACCCCGAGTCCGAGCTGGGGCGGAGAGGCCTTGGGTGGCTGCCCACTGACGGGCGCGGGCTGACCTCTCCGAAGCTCATGCGGTTGGCCTGCTTCCGGATCTCTGTCAGTCCCAGCCGCTCCTTCATCTTGCGGTACCTGGGGTGAGCGGTCAGCTCGGGTATGGGCCTCGCCGCCCCCCCGCCCCGCTCACCCCCACAGGGCCCCAGGGCCCTCACCTGCGGCCCCCTCGCTTCTTCCGCTGCCCATCCAGGGGTGCGGGCAGGGGCTTCACCTGCTTCACAGGCGGCGGCTCCTGCCACTTGTCAAATTTGCGCTCGATCTCGTCCTTCAGTTCATAGCCCACCTGGAGGGGAGTGGGGCGCTGTGGCCACTCCTGGGGTGCCTGCCTGGCCGGCCCATCTGCCACCGGGGCACAGCGTCCTCCTCCTCCCCGGTCCCCGGTCCGGGGCTCCTCTAAGACCTCACACCCTCCATACCTGCGGCCCAGGCTCACCTGAGCTCTGCCCTGAAGGAGCCTGCCCTCCCTCCCTCCCTGCACAGCCCCGGGGCCTCCGCCAGCACACACCCACCCCACGGGCGCCCGCTCACCTTCCCCTCCGAGCTCTCGTGGAAACTGTCCACGCGGGCGGCCAGTGTGCATTTGGCGGCCACCAGCCGGGCCGCCTTCCGCCGCAGATCCTGGGGCAATGGAAGGGGGGTGAGTCCGGTGCTCCCCAGGGCTGGCCGACCCCAGGTCCTGGGAAGGAGGCCTCACACCCCGGCCTGTCTGGCCCAGCACCTCCGGAGAGCCCCACAACTCAGGCCCTCACACTGAGCCACAGGGCCACCCTTTCAAAGACAAGGCAGGGTCTTGCTAAACTGACTGAGCCTGAACCTGCGACCTTCCTGCCTCAGCCTCCCAGAGTGCTGCGATTGAGGTGAGCACCACCAGGCCCGGTGGGAGAAGCCCACTCTTCTCCCCCAGTCTACAAGGAGGCAGAGGACAAGGGGCTGCCTCCCTGCAGCGCCTCTGTCCGAAGCAGCATGAAGAGGGCCTGAGCCGGGTGGAGCCCTCAGCCCGCCCCGGCCACACCTAGCCCAGGCCCCGGCTGCACACCTGGCCCACTCGCCTCAGTTTCCTCAACTGGGAAATGGGCAGCAGGGCAGAAGCAGGTGTGGGCCGGAGCAGAGGGAAAACTGGAGTTGTGAGGATTCAGTGAAATCAGCATTTCCAAAGCCTCAGCCCTGCTCCCCAGCCTCTGGCCCTGCTCTTGAGCCGTTACTGTCACCACAGCGACGCAGACTCCTGGCCACACCACAGGCAGGGTTTCCTCTCAGCCCTCTTCAAAAACCACAAGCCCGGTAAAGATGGCAACTTAGCTATTCCATAAATGGGACACTGTTAAATAATAATAAAGCCAGGTGTGGTGGCGCACGCCTGTCATCCCAGCACTCAGGAGGCTGAGGCAGGAGGATCACTGAAGTTTGAGGCCAGCTTGGGCTACACAGTGAGACCCTGTCTCAAAAAACCAACTAACACAAACAAAAAATAACTAACTGGGCCGGGGATTTAGCTCAGTGGTTTCGCTGCCTGCTGGGCAAGCGGAAGGACCTGAGTTTGATCCCTGGTACCAAAAAAAACCCAGTTCTAAAAAATAACTAACTAGCAGTATTTAAAATAAAAGACCTGCCCACATATGGCTGAATTCATGTTTTCTGCCATTCAAGAGAGGTGGCTCTCGTGTGAGGAAGCACCAGGAGGCACATGTAAAACCCACAGCCACAAGACAGCGACAACAATAAGCCACCAGCATGCAGAGGAGAAGAGGGCAGGCACTGGCCTGGACCCCGGGAAGGGGCCGTGCTTTGCAGCTGCATGACTGGGCCAGGAGGGCTGGCTCTGCTACACAGCCAGCCGGACCGAGGTCGGCGCTCGGCGGTGCCACTCACCGGGGGCAGGGACTGCACGATGTCGCTGTGGTAGATGTAGCCAGTGTGGGGCAGCACGGAGGTAGATGAGAAGCCGGACAGTGTCTTGCGCTGGGCCCCGAGCAGCATGATGTTGCAGGCGGGCATCTTGGAGAGGTTGGTCAGGCCGCCGGCCACACCTGCAGTGGGAGGTGCAGAGGGAGATGCGGGCTTGGACCAGGGGCTCCCTGCACTCCGTGCCTTTGTGTGAGGTTCTGGCCCTGCCTTCGAGGGCTGAAGTAGCTCATTTCACTGTGGGGCAGATGTGCAGGGGCACAGAGGGGGGTGGCAACTTGCCTTGTGGGTGCACAGCCAGGAAGTGGCCCAAGAGGAGGCTGACCCCAAAGTCCACGCTGCCCGCTCTGAGGGTGTTATCTATGGGAGGTCTTTTTGAGACACAGTCTCACTATGTGGTCCAGGTTGGCCTTGAACTCACTATGTTGCCTAGGCCGGCTCCTGCCTCAGCCTCCCCAGTGCTGGGGCTGTAGGTGTGCCCCACACCAGCCTATCTATGTAGGGCAGGTGCTCTGAGCACTGGGCCTGTGTCTGCCTCACCTGTTTGCAGTGGGGTTGTGCAAGCACAGGGAGGGGAATACGCTGGCAGGAGACATTTCTCCACTTTCAGGGCCTGCCGTGACTGCAGGGGTTGGGCACACCGCCCAGCCAGTAAGGGACCTCGAAAGGAGCCCTGGCGTGGGCACGGCAGGCTAAGCAGAGCTGAGGGGCCACCGTGCCATCGGGCCAGGGCCTTCTGTGACTAGAGGGACTGAGCTGGGTGGGGCACCTCAAAGCTGGAGTGACCTGACCCTCAGGGTTCAACACACTCTCGAGGCTCCGTAACAGCGAAGAGGGTAGCTGGGGAGACAGCGTCAGTGGCAGGCAAAGGGACGTGGAAGGAGGGGAGGAACAAGCCACGGCCGTAGGAGCCCAGGAGGCTGGGGCTCACTGAGCAGCTCCTCCCAAACCCTGCCAGGGTCCCTGCCGGCCAGCGACGGGTGGGGTCCGGTGAGGCCCAGAGGGGGTGACAGTGTGCCAGGCCCAGGGTCTTGGCTACGGCCGGAGGAAACCAGCCCAGCTGCCAGTCACACTCGGGAAACTGAGGCAGGGGAGCTCATTTGCTGAGGATGAGTGGTCAGCCAGGCGGGGCCAGGATCTGCACCCACATCTGTGCTGAACCCACCATGTCCGCTCCCCAGCTCAGCACGCAGCTCCCCACTGAGGGGCCTGAGCTGTGTGCTGAAATTAGAGCTGCTGCAGAACACGGCAGGATTTGAACACAGGGCCTTTGAGGAGATAAATGAGGCGTGGAGGGGCTCAGGACCCGGCACACAGCGGGGCGGGATGTAGAGTGGCCTCTTCGGGCGGCCTCAGCCTTCATGGCGCTGCCGTGTGTGTCAGGCCCACACACAGCCGGCGGGACGGGGCTGCGGTGCCGTGCGCCCACCCGTCCGAGCCTGCAGGGCGGGCGACAGGGCGGGGGCCTCACCCATGATCTTGGCTGCCGTGGAGGCGCCCACGATGATGGACAGGCTGGGGGCGATGAAGGACATGCGGGACTCCACGTACTCGTAGATGCGGTGCTTGGACGCGTTCAGCTCCAGGGCCATGTCGCAGGCCTCCTCCAGCCGCTCCAGCTCCTCCTCCGACAGCTGCTGCCTGTGGGAGGGACCCGGACTGCTGGGCATCTCGCCTGCTGGCGCCACGGGTGGCCCCTGCAAGTGCCCGCGTGTGCCGCGCCGGGTCCTGGGGCGCTCGTACCCCTGGGTGGTGGAGGCCGTGACGCTGACCACCATGATGGTGGCGTTGGTGAGGATCTGCTGCAGGTTCTCGTTGTTCTTGCACTTGTCCAGGCTGTTGCCCAGCTCCTGGGGGAGGCAGGCATGGAGCTCAGGAGGGGCAGCCCCCCCCGGCTCCGCTCAGGATCCCCCGGGACTCCGGGAGGCCGCTCTGCAGTGGGGCCTCTCCTGCCCCTCCCAGCCCCCAGACTGCCAGTGCTCAAAGCGCCAGCACTGTGGCAGCTCCACGGGGGCAGGCGGGCAGAGAAGCCACGGGAAGACGCACTGCACCCCACGGGCTGTGGTCTGGGCCCACTCTGAGCTCAGGCCAGGACAGAACCTCCTCTGCCACCAGCCCGACCGCACCAGGCAGGGCCTCGCTACGTTGCCCAGGCCGGGTCCCAGCTCCTGATCTTTCCTTTCCAGCTCAGCCGCAAAGACTAGGGTTATACATGTGCACCCCATGCAGGGCTCTGGCCCTCTTCTCGAGGGCCTGGCTCGCCCATAACAGCTTCGCCTCGAGGTCTCCCGTGCTCAGCACTCTCTGCCGAGCCCCTCACCTTGACCGTGCGGATGTAGTCCAGTGCGTTGGGGACCAAGGACTCCAGCTCGGGGAACCTCTTCGAGTACTTGTCCCGGATGAACTTATGGATGATGTCTGGGGAGGTGAGGAGGGGCTGCTCGTGAGGAGCAGGCCATCCGGCTGTCCCCGGCACCCGCTTCCTGCTTCACTGCCAAACCCCGAGACCGCAGCTTGGCACAAGGGCACCCAGCATAAAGGCCATGCTCCGGCCCTTTCGTACTTGGGTGGCCACCTCGTTAGAAGCCGAGAGCGGAAGTGACGTGGGCAGCTTCTAGGACAGGCCCCGGGGAAGGAACTGTGCACTTCCTTCTCTGGTGAGCCGGACCAGACCGGCACAGGGGCCTAGGGCAGCACGCAGGGGAAGGCCAGCGGGGCCGTGGGGGGCATGGGACAGGGCTGCCACAAGGCGCCAGCACTCACTCAGCTCATTTTCGATCTCCACAGTCAGGTTGTTGGCGTCCACAATGACACGGTACTCGGGGGCTGCCTCCACCGGCCCCATCACTGTGCGGAGGAGAAGCGGGAGCGGATGAGGCAGGAGCACATAGCGGCCGCGGCCGTGCCCACCGGCCTGCTTCTGCACCCCCTCCAGTCTGTCCTCCACGTCAGTCCAGACTCAACCTCATCCTGCTCTGGAACTAGGCCCTCCCATGCCTCCCACTACCAAGGTAACGAGCCAGCCCCTAGAGCGAGTCGAGGCTTGCGTTATGGGACGCCCTGCCCGGCAGGGACAAGTTCTACAGCTGCGCTCCCCGCGTCTGCGCCCGCGGTGCCCAGGACCCTGGAGTCCTCCCCTGGTATGTGCTGAGCCACCAGCTCCACACTGTGGCCCCTCCACCTTCCAACCCTGTCCTCTCCACACGACTCCACCTGACTGCAGCTGACTGGGGCCACTGGGCCCCAGTTACAGCCGCTCCACTTTCGATCTCTCCAGGCATTGTTCCCCCTCCTGCCAACATCCCTGCCTCTTATGTTTCTGGAAAACCACTGTGCAATACAAACAATGAGAGCATCATCAGGGTTAGCAGTCAGAGCAGCTGACACACACAGGACCCCTGGGCCTGATCAGGGGTCATTCTGTGTGTCATACAGGGGCTGATTTACCTCACCCATGGCCAGCAGGGGAGGTCCATATTAAATTGGACTGACTTAAAAGAGAGAAATGGAGCCACTGCCTGAGGTTGCACAGCCGGCAGGCAGAGATCTGGCCCTAAACACGGTGCTTCAATCTGTCCCAGCCCTGGTGCCCGAGTGCCTCCTTCCCTCCTTAAGGCTCGGATGGCATTGAAGAACCTTCCTGCAGACGTCTCCCCCACACTCCACCACAGCTGGGCCCCTCTGCTAGACACGGACCACCACCCAACCTGACATGTTTCATGCCCAACCCCACCCGACACCCAGCCTGAGCTCTGCAGCCTGGCCTTGGACCCCAGCCGGAGCCGGCACCTCCCTGCGCCTCCCTGCCACTCCGATGTCTGTGGCCTGGCCATGCTATTCTCTTTCCCTGGGCCCCTTTCCTCCCCTTATTGCCTGGCAAGTGACCATGCTCCAGACTCCAATTAAGCACCTGATCCCCAAGGCAGGGCCAGGTAGCCCCTCCTTTGGCTGCAGAGTGTCCTGAGCAAGGGACTACCCACCAAGGACAGCCTGGGATCTGGCCAGAGTCCTCCACTAGACTCTGGGCATTTTGAGAGCAGAGAGCTGGGCTGATTCAACTGAGTGTCCAAGAAATTAGTAAAGAAAAGGAGTGTGTCTCCCTGAACCTGTGTTCTGACTACATCTCTCCTGTGCCCAGCAACTCCCAGAGCTTCCCAGGACCAACAAATTCCACTATGGAGTCCAGAGTCCCATGCTTCCCAGAAGGGGAATGGCAATGGGCCTGCCCTATTAACAGGCACTCTGAGTACTCAAGAGGTGACCCGGTGCTCCCCAGAGCTGGGACTGACAAAAGCTATCAGGTGACAACCTAACAGCAGTGTATTTATTTTGCGGCTACTTTATATTTACCCAAAGGTACCAGTTTTCTATTCACAGTAGTAACAACATTTAATTCTTACATGAACTTAGGGAAAAAATGTTCACTGATTTGAAAAAAAATCTGAAGTAAAAGAACACCCAGTTTACAGATGTAGCAAAAACTCTGTAACTGGTCATGCCTGCCCCTGCAGTTCGGGGATTTTACAGATTGACTGATTGATTTGGCAGTACTATGGGTTGAACCTAGGACCTTTGTACTGAGCTATATATCCCCAGCTCTTTTTTATTCCTTATTTTGAGACAGGATCTTACTAAGTTGCTACATTGCCCAGGCTCTGCTCAAGCTTGTGATCCTCCTGTCTCAGCCTCCTAGAGAGGTGAGATTATAGCCCGTGCCAACACATCCAGTTTGGGGAATCTTGAGATAAGTTCTATCACAACTAGTAAGTGCTCATCATAGAATAAGGGCTTTATCACACAATGTTTTTAGGGGAGAAGTGGTCTGCAGTGGGATGGATGAAAAGAGTGCTCTGAGAAAGGGCAAGAGGGACCAAGACTCAGTATTGGAAGCCACAAGGAACAAAAGAGCCATGAGGCCCGACAAGATAATGAGGAGGGGAAAGTGAGGGTGCAAACTACCTTCTGAAGCTTTGGCTTGCTTGCTGATGTACTCCTCAATCTTCATCATGATCTCAGCAAACTGCCAGGGAAGGGGAAAAGGAAGAGAAAGGGAGTCACCAGGGCTCTTCAAAAAGAAGAGTTACTAGGGCCAGGGATTTAGCTCAGTGGTTTCGCCGCCTGCTGCGCAAGCGCAAGGACCCAAGTTCGATCCCCGGTACAAAAAAAAAAAAAAAAAAAAGGTCTTTGCAAATAGGGAAGGGTGGAGGGGGAGAAGGGGGTGGGCAAGGGAAGGGGAAAAAAAATAAGAACCAAGAGACTCATGTAATGGTACAAGATCCCAATGATGAATGTAACTGTATTTTATACCTAAAATGTACCAATAAAGTTAATGGGGGGAAAGAAAAAAAAAGAAGAGTTACTGCTTCATTACCTGTCCTGGCGCTTGTTTGTGGCCCCTCACCCCTGTGCCCTCTCACCATCTTGCTATCCCACAGCTTGGCGATACTCTTGACTGAATCCCCAGAGAGATCCAGCTGTGTCTCCTCCTGTACATCCTCAATCGCTGGCTCCTCTTCCTCCTCTCCAAAGCTTCCTCCTTCCTCCTCTTCAGCTGCCTCCTCAAGGTCAGCCAAAAGCTCATCTGCCAGAGACATCCCAAGGTCTGTGCGGAAGGAAGGGCAGGGTTCCGTGAGACCACACCTGACCAAGTCCCTCTTTATTACATGAAGGACCTCTCTCCTGGAAGGCCCGGGTCCTCCTTTATTGGTACCCAAGCTCCACAAGGTAGGGTGCTTCCTTTTGCTTTGTTCTCCAGGGGTGTCTGCATCCCTACCCATGTAAGACTCAGCAAGCCATGCAAAGTGCCATCCTGTCAGGACTTACCAATTTCTCACCTTTGGGTCTTCGCACAATCAGTCCTCTTTGCCTAAAGTGGCTCTCTGCCCCACTCTTCAGTGCCCAACAACTCCTCAGCCTTCAGCTCCCAGGCTCCAACTGTCTGACCCCTGCACCCCTTTCCAGCCCGCGGCGGCTTGCTTTGTGATGTACGCCCCACACGTCCCGCGTGTGCGCCCTCAGACACTTCCCAAGACTGAGATTAAGTGACTCCTCCACGGAGCCCGCCTCCCGGGCATCAGTCAACGCTCTAAGAGGACAGTGAACAACCTTACTTCTGACATATCCCCAGGGCCATAGCACAGGAGGAGCATACGAAGCTTTGGGCGATCAACCTGTGAAGGCCCGGCTTTGTCCTCATTCGCCTCCTCCTCCAGACCCAGGAGTCTGGCGTCCGGCCCTCCCATTGTCCCCCACTCACCTCTTCCCTCAGCTCACGACGGTTTCTAGGAAATTAGCTTCGCAGCAGCGGCCGGCGCTCACTGATGCCGTTACGCGCCTAGCCGGGCAGAGCTGCGCTCTGATTGGCCAACGACACCGCGATGTTCCCGCCGCGTTTGGAACAACGTTATTAGCACCGACCTCCGGCGCACACGGATGAGCGGGACGCGGACAGGGGCTCAGCGGGCTCGCGGCCCCCAGAGCGCGTCGGCTACGCGGAGAATCGTCGCGGCCAGACTGTGGGGGGTCGAAACCAGAATAAAGGCGGCGGCAGCACAGACGACTGGTAGCGGCGTAGAAGAGAAAGCAAGGCCTTGAAGCCGCGATTTTGCGTAGGGCGACCAGGACGAAGGAAACGAAGCTGGAAATAGGAAACTACAACTCCCAGAAGGCACCGGGCTTCCTGGGCCGCGAAGCCTAATGGGACCAATAGTTCTCCACACGGCTCAACCTAGACGCCTGAGGCTGAAGTGGTGCGGCCTGAGGCGCCTGGAGTGGCAGAGATGGAGCTGGAGCAGCGAGAGGGGTGAGTGGCCGAGCCGCGGGAGGGGCCGGGCCGCGTACCCGAGAGGACGCTGCGGCCCGCGATGCGTAGCCTCTGTCCTGTGCCCGGGGGCCCGCTGGGAATTGTAGTTCATGCCGTTGCTGTACGTTATAGCCACCCTCGGGGGGCCTGGGGGCTGCAAGGGAGAAGACCGGGGATCAGACGGGACCCGGGTCTAAGAGACCGGGAGGATTGGAAGAGGAGGGGTGAGGAGTGAGGAGAGACGCCTCTGACCCTGCAGGACCATGGCAGCCGTGGGGTTTGAGGAGTTCTCGGCCCCGCCGGGCTCAGAGTTGGCGCTACCCCCCCTGTTTGGCGGCCACATCCTGGAGAGCGAGCTAGAGACCGAGGTGGAGTTTGTGTCTGGTGGCTTGGGGGGCTCGGGGCTCCGGGAGCGCGACGAAGAGGAAGAGGCAGCCCGGGGGCGGCGGAGGCGCCAGCGAGAGCTGAACCGCAGGAAGTACCAGGCGCTGGTCCGGCGCTGCCGGGAGATCGAGCAGGTAGGTGAGTGTGGGATCCCGCTCTGGGTCACCTCCTGGGCGAGCCTGCCAGCCCCGCACCAGTCCCCTTGGGTCCTATCTCTCTGCATCCCATAGCCCCTGCCCTGGACTCAGGTTCACTGGCAGAGCTGTTCCTCAGCCCTCCCTGGCGGTAGGAGGATGGAGCAGAAGCGGGGGGTCACACCCTGCCGGGCAGGAACAGCAAGGCAAGAACTTTGGAATTTTTTTTTTTGACAGCCGGAGCCGTTGAAGGGTTTTAAAGGGGGCAGGTGGTGGAGCAGTGTCAGGTCTCCGACTCCCTGAAGAGTCACGTGGGGCGTGTTCAGGCTGCTGGAGCTGCGAAAGTACCACAGGCTGGAGGCTCAGCCACAGACGCCTATTTTCCAGTTTTATTTAAGTTTTTTATGACACAGGATCTTTACAGTCCAGGCTGGCCTCAAACTTACAGCAATCCTTCTGCCTCAGTCTCCAGAGTGCTAGGATAACAGGCGTGCCTCCCATGCCTCCCTTTGTCCTGCAGTTTAGAGGCGGGAAGTCTGGGACCAGGGTGTCAGCAGGCAATTCCCGAGGGCTAATGGAGTCCTGCTGGTGTCCCTTGGCCTGTTGCTGTTGCCAACGACCTCGGTGTCCTTTGAGGCGTAGCGAGCGGCGTCACCCTGGCCTCTGCCCTCAACCTCACATGTTGCTCCATGTGTGGGTCTGTGTCTCAGTTTCCCCTTTTCACAAGGACAGCAGCCACTGAGCGAGGGTGTACCTGGGACCTCACTGTAAGGTGCTCACCTCTGTGGCTACTGTCTTGGAACACAGTGCCATGCTGAGGGGCGGGGGTCTGGAGTCCAGCACACCTTTCTGAGGGCACTGAGCCCAGGCTTTCTGGCCGGGAGGAGCCCATGCTTCAGCCACCATTCAGGCGTGACCCACAGGTCTGTGACAGCCCTAAGCAGCCACCTCACACTGCCAATCTAAGGCGCTGGGGACAGGCTGTCCTCATGGAGCTTGGGTTGGGTTGGGGAGCAGACAGTGAGCGAAGAACACACAGGATATGAGATGCACTGTGCAGGGCCAAGAGTAAGCAAGACGAGGGGGTGGGCAGGGTTCTGGCATGGGGTCGGGAGGCCTGGGGCCTCCCTCAGCAGGTGACAGTCTCGCTCCAGGGCTTGGAGAGCAGTGAGAAGGGGTCAAGCAGAAGAACAGCGTGTTGAAAGCCCCAGGACAGCGGGCATGGTGGAGCACACCTGTAGTCCCAGCTCTTGGGAGGCTGACACTGGGTGTCACTGGGCTACTCAGTGAGACCCCAGCAGGACGAACAGAGGGCTGCGGGTGTAGCGCAGTGTGAAGGCCCACGGTTCAGTCCCCAGTCCAGCCGTGGGGGAAGCCCCACGATAGGAGTGCGAATGAACGTGTGCTTGGGAGCCAGCCAGCACTTCCGAGTGGACAAGGGCGAGGACGCGAGGCAGGGAGGGAAGCGCTCTGAACGCAACTGCGGTGACCCGTGCTCTCCCCCTCTGCAGGTGAACGAGCGCGTCCTCAACAGGCTGCACCAGGTCCAGCGGATCACTCGGAGGTTGCAGCAGGAGCGCAGGTAGCCCTCCCACCACAGCCCGGGCTTCTAGCCCGGCATTTCCACCCCTCTCCCCACTCGGCCAGCTGCCCTGTCTGCCTGGGCCCCTGGGCCCTGAGGATGAAGGGTGCAGGCTTGGATGGGAGCAGGGTGGGGAGGGCAGAGCCAGCTGGGTGGCTGGGAGCAGCTGTCTGCTGGGACGAGGGGCACAATGCACACCTGCTGTGACCCGGAGCAAGTGGCACCTCTGATCTGCACAGGGACAATGCCAGTGGACAAGCACTGAGCAGCTGAGCTCAGAGCACCCCACACGACCTTTGGCAGGGCCTAAGCCCTGCAACCTTCGGCCCCAGACACCCGCCACTGACCTGCCACCTGCAGCGCCCGTCATCTTGGTCCTCTGCCAGCTGGCCGGGCACATCTGACTAGTGGGAGCCCCTCTTCTTGGTTTTTTTGTTTGTTTTTTGTACTGGGGATTGAACTTGGGTCCTTGCGCTTTCGAGGCAAGTGGCAGAACCACTGAACTAAATCCCCGGTCCGGTTGCCCGTCTTCTTGGAGCCCTCGCTCGGCACCCCGGTCGCCCATGACAGGCAGGGAACCAACAGTCAGACAAGCACCCTGCTCGGGCCCCAGGCTGCAGAGCTCTGAACTCTGGGCCAAGGGCAGTGGGGGCTTCAGGCCGAGTGTGAGCTGGGCCCTGCTGTCCCTGCCAGGAGGTCACTGTCCCACTGGCGGCATCTCTGTCCATGCAGGTTCCTCATGAGGGTGCTGGACTCCTACGGAGATGACTACCGGGCCAGCCAGTTCACCATTGTGCTGGAGGTGAGCACTGCTCTCTTGGGCCAGGGAAACCAGGAGCCGGGACAACCTTTACCTGCCCCTTCCTTCCCCTCCAGGACGAGGGCAGCCAGGGCACAGACACCCCCACCCCAGGCAATGCTGAGAACGAGCCTCCTGAGAAGGAGGAGCTGTCCCCACCCAGAAGGACTCCGGCAGCCCTGGAAGCCAGCAGCCCAGCCCCTGGTGAGGGGCTCAGTGGGCGGAAGAGGCGGCGAGCACCACGGGATGGGGGCCGGGTGGGTGCTTTGCTGACCCCAGAGCCGGCCCCTGTGCAGGTAGGCAGGAGCCCGGGCAAGTAGGCTGGGTGGGGGCAGCGGGAAGGAGCTAGGAGTCTCGGCCTGGAGATGGCCGGTGGGGCGGGGGGAGGGGGACCTCGGTCCGCTCTGCACACAGGGAAGTTGCTGGCCAGGGAGAGCAGCCATGGGGAGGCTTCTCTGTTCCCAGGCCCACAAGTCCGACTCCTTTCTCCCCAGGTTAAGGTCGAGGAAGACTTTGGCTTTGAAGCAGATGAGACCCTGGATTCAAGTTGGGTGTCTCGGGGTCCTGACAAACTGCTGCCCTACCCTACTCTGGCCACCCCACCCTTCGACTGACCCCACCCCAATAAACCAACCCCATGTACATTGGTCACTGTCTGCTATTCCCAACCCCAATCATGTACTCTCAGAATCTGGGGTTGGTGTTCACACTTTTATTGGGGGCCAGGGGAGGGGGCTGCCTCCCTGTCCATAGCAAGAAGTGCTCACAGTTTCTTTAGCCACTCCAGGTTGGGGCCCTGGGGGTCCTGGGGGTGGCTGGGCACATCAGGCATGTTCCCATCATCTCGGACGGGCACTGTGGGAGAGGAAGGTGGGCCACTTGAGACCGGCCAGTCTCCAGAGCCCTCCGGAAAAGCCAAAAGGGCCTGTCAGATTATGCTCAGAGAGGGAAGCGGGGCTGAGGGAGAGAAAGGAGAGTGGGTCAGAGAATGGGTGATGCAGAGACAGACAGGGGAAGCAGCAGATACAGGAACCCAGGCAGGAACAGAAATCTGTCAAGAGGCTCAAAGCACAAAACAACGGGAAGCAAGTGGTATCATTAAATTGGACAGGTGCAGTCCAGGCTACGGCAGAATGCCCCCCCCTCCGGAAAGGCCCACTCACCTGGGTAGTTGTAGGGCATGGCCTTGTTGACCATGATGGAGTACTTGGTGTAGGGGCTGACTACGGGCAGAATTGCAGCTGTGGAGAGACAAGTGAGGTGTGGGTTGGGGTGGGTCAAGGTAACCCCAGGAGGCTGCTCTGGGGCTCTTGCACCCTGTGGCCCCCATTTATGGGCAGAGGGTTTACAGCTGGGAGTGGGGGAGTGATGCCTAGCACTCAGCTGTGTCAGCTACAGAGCAGGGATGGGAGGAAGTGGGGCAGTCTTAGAGTGCTGTGGTCATAGAGGATGGGGGGCGGGGCTGGGATGTTCCAGGAAACAAGACTGCTTGCCAACTCGGGGGGAGGAGGGTTGTACAGAGACCAATTGCTGACCGGGGAGAGCCAGGAGTCCTGGGACTGGGGGAGGTCCATGCTGTCTGATAGGCGACAGCCACCTGCAAGTTTTCTAGCAGCCACATTAAGAAGAAAAGGATATAAACAAAACTAATTTTACAAAGTAGTGTAGCTTGGTATGATCCAACCATTACCATTTCCCATATAATGAACATAAACAGTACATGTACTTTTAAACTTCAGCGTGTCTTGTACCATCTCAGTGGTTCAGCCCCAGTTTATGAGCGCAGTGCCCATGGTGGCTGGAGGCCTGTTTTAGGACCTTTCCCAGTGTGTGGTCTGTGGGATATCAGTACCGACAAGGCCCGGAATGCAGAATCCCAGGCCCCAGCCCAGACCTATGGACTGCACTTAATTAGACCCCCCAACCGCAGGTCAGGAACTCCCGGTCACCCTGAAGTGTGAGCAGCGCTGCTGCAGGCCACAGGTTTTGTGGTTTTTTTTGGTACCGGGGATCGAACTCGGGCCCTTGCGCTTGCGCAGCAGGCGGCGAAACCGCTGAGCTAAATCCCGGGCCCGGTCACAGGTTCTTTATCAGGCAGACTCACGAGGATTTGCTCAAGACTCCCTAGCCCCCCTCCGCCCCAACCAACTCAATTGAGAATCGGGGAGGGAAGGGGCACGCATTATTAATTCCCATTATCGTTCTTTTGTCACCCCGGGTTTCTCAGAGTACAATGGGGGTCAAGGGACTGCATCTCGTGCTGACAGAGGCTGGGGGGAGGGATCCCCACCATGTTAAGGGTGCAATAGGCCAGGGGAGCCGTGAGGTGGCGCACACGGTGCGGAGCAAGATACACCGTTGCGGGTGAAATGCTGCGGGCGGAGGATACACGTTCGTGCCCGGGAAACTCACGCACCGAGGCCCGCGATAGCTAAGGACACGACCAGCACCGGCTCCTGGCCCCAGGCATTCTTGAAGAAGGCAGCAATTCCTGGAGTGGAAGAACGAGGGTCACTCCTGCTGGGGCTGCCAGGTGACCTCCAGCCCTCTCGTCCCACCCTGCCCTGCAGGAGCCCGGGTGACTGCCGCGTGCTAGGTGGACCCCAGGGTCCTTAGCGTTGCGCCGCCGCGCCTCCGCCCCAGACCTCCTGCGGTTCCCACAACTCCCCGGGCCCGCAGCGACCCGCAGCGCCCTAACTCACTAGCAGCCATGTTGCTTGACGGCAGCGAGGGTCCGGAGCACTCTGGGAGTTGTGGTCCATGCGCCAAGCTCCGGGACGTAGGCTGCGTATGCGCCTTGGAGCAAGAGCGGCGCGGCCGAAGCCAGCGCGCGGAGCCCTCTGGGAGTTGTAGTTTCTTCGGCGACTCCATCGGCGCGTGCGCACTAGCTCAAAACATTTGAAGAGGCGGTGGGGAGGTGTAAGGGGAGCTACGGGATTGCGCTTGGAAGGGCTCATTTTTCTGTCAGGCGCTTCCTGGGGCTCGCCTTTCTACCTCAGCCTACAAGTCGCTGCCGAGAAGAAACATAGTCCTCCTGCTGCAGCCCAACCAAAGCAGAATGAAATTATCCTCATTGCAGACTTCATGAAAGCCAGCCGGGGATTTAGCTTAGTGTTTTGGCCGCCTGCTGCGCAAGCACTAGGACCCGAGTTCTATCCCCAGTACCAAGAATTTATGAAAGCCCATTTTACAGATGGAAGAGATGAGACCTGAGAAAGCCAATGGCCGACCTGTCGCTCTGGGTCGCCCCTCGAGGTGGGCTTGTGCGGGAAACACTCTTTGATCTCTGCGGGCTCTCCGGGTGCACTTTGTTGTGCCATATAACTCAGATCACTTGAAAAAAAAAAAAAGATTTGGCCCGTGTCTTTCAGTGGGACCAGGAGTTACTCAGGTAATCTCTGTGCTCCCTGCGGCACATACTAGATGCTTTGTGCGCATGTGTTTGAGCGCGCGAGCGTGCGTGCGTGCGTGCGTTAACTGGGGATTGAACCCAAGGCTTTGGCACTGAGCTGCAAGCCGCCCCCCCACCACACACCCTTTTTGAATCAGGGTCCCAATAAGTAGCAAGCTTGCCCAGGCTGGGCTCCAACTTAGATCCTCCTGCCTCCTCGAGCCACAGTAGGGACAAACGCTAAGGTTATAGAAGACCCGAGCCTGCCCTGCCCACCCGCGACAGCGCCCTCTGTCGGCCCTTCTCGCGTGGCCTTGGCTGCTGCCCCCCTCCCGCCCACACACACACCAGGTCAGCCCCGCCCAGCGTGGGGTCCGGGCCCAGACCCTGCCCGGGACTGCTCCCGACACTCCGGAAACCTGCAGGGTGCTCCAAGTTTCCTGAGCTGCTGTGGGGCTCGCAGCCGCCCTCCGTGGGGACTCCAGATAGGGATGAGTTCAATCTTTGGTCCCCACAGGGGCTGGGGACACGACACACACTGGGTCCAGAGTGCGCTGGAACCACGCCTTCCTGACAGTGCCTCTCTTCCTGTGTCGGCGCCCTCTTGACTGAAATAAATCCCGCAAACCCCACGAGCACGCGTTTCCTCTCTCTGGTGAGTCGGCCTTGCTCTGTCTTGAATGGTGAAGCTCAAGGGCTCGTGTTCATGACTGCATTCAACCAACACATCCAGCGCTGGCTTCCTCCTGGGGAAATGCAGCTGTCCAGGCCACTCTGTGCTTTTAGGGCTGCCCAGTAAACTGATGACAAGGCCCCATATCTAATGAAATGGAGTTGAGGAAAAAGTGTAGAAGATGTCTTTTTAAATTTTTATTTTATCTTTTTTTTTTTTTTTTTTTTCCAGTACCGGGAATCAAACTCAGGACCTTGAGCTTGCCAGGCAGGCACAACGTCACTGAGCTAAATTCCTGGCTCATTTTTTGTTTTTTTAAAAGACAGGGTCTGCTATGTAGCTCTGGCTGACCTCGAATTCACTATGTAGCCCGAGCTGGCCTGGAATCCTAGCAATCCTCCTGCCTCAGCCTCCCCAGTGCTAGGATTACAGGCGTGCCCCATCATTCCAAGTATCTCTCTCTCTTTTTTTTCCCTACTACTGGGAATCGAACACAGGACCTTATGCTTGCCAGGCAGGTGTGGTACTGAGGTACATCACCAGCCCATCCTCTCTCTCTCTCTTTTTTAAAATTTATTTTGAGACCAGGTCTTGCTGAGACACTAAGTTGCCCAGGCTGGACTCAAACTTGTGATCTTCCTGCTTCAGCTAATGTTGGATCTTTTTTACAGCTATACAGGACAAAAGAGAAGGAGGGAGGGAGTAACAGAGGAGGGTGGGGAGGGCAAGGAGAAAGAGACATTATTCCATGCCATAAAACTAATTCAGGAGTCTAGCTTGGTAAGGTGATCAACTGAAAATATTGAAACGAATGTAAATGTGTTTTATAGTCCTGTGTAGTGTGGAGATTGATGGATATTGCGGTGGCCAATGTGTTCCACTTTCTGATCCTATAAATCTATCCCTTGAAATATATTTTGCACACAATAACCTTGCCAGAGTCCAAAGACATTAGAAATTACTGCTGGTGTCACAGCCATAACTTTCCTGGAGAAACCTCAGTTCCAACTGGTGGCCTTAGATGATGCTGTTGCCCTGGTAATGATGTTGTAATTGACAGCTCAGAGCTCCTGAGTCACAGGGAAAATGGCCTCGAAAACAGAAGGTGCTCATTCGCAGGCGATGGTGTTTTCTCCCACATGTATGACAAAGAAGAAAGTGAAAGCCTAAGACAGTGGTAGATTTCTTACTTTTTTGTTTGGTATTTTGAGACAGGGTCTTGCTATGTGTAGGGAACAGGGGAAGGGGACATTATCAGAACCTCTGCAGTGAGTCCTGGTCTCCTTCGAGCCACGGCAGCACACGGCGAATTACAGGAAAGGTAGAAAAATGAGACTGAGAAGAAGCTGAGCTTTGGGTCTGATCAGTGCTGCTCTGGGCATCAAAAACAAAAGCCCCCTAGCTTGCAGCACGTTTTATTCAGTTCATGGGGAAACAGATGTAACAAGTGAAAATGCGGAGTTCAGTGCTTCACATTGGGATAAACAAGGTGTAACAAAAGACTGGGGGGCAGTGGAAATCTAAGAACAATGAGGAACTATGCAGATGAAGATTTGGTTCCTCCCTGTCGTCTCCCACAGGTGTGCTCTTGTCCTGGAGATTACAGCATCCGGGGATCACTGAGGTCTCAGTTGTGACCCGAGGCCAAAATGGAATTATGTCCAGAATATTGTAGCTGGCCTGTAGGCAGAACTAGGCCTACTCAAATGATTTTTCCTTAGAATTATGTAGCAGTGCTCCCAACAGCTATGAGTCAAGACTGGCCTTAAACTCGCTATGTAGCTCAGGCTGGCCTCAAACTCATGGAAATCCTCCTGCCTCAGCCTCCTGAATACTAGGATCACAGGTGTACAACACCATGCCCGACTTGGAATAAATTATTAATTGAATTTCACAGAATCCCTCACAGGAGGACAACAGAAACAGAAAAGATAGCAAACACGCACAGGAGATGGAATGAAGTGTGTGAGGAGGTCCTCATCACAGTTTCAAGGCGAGAGAGCAGAGTGAGGTTGGGCCATGCTGCAGACAGTGGTCAGTGATTTCACAGCCATGAGGAAAGAACGCAAAGGGAAGCTTCCATCTCAGGCTGGAAAGACCCTCACAGGCTGGGTTCGGAAGGCTTGGTCCCGCCCTGGCGTGGGCTCAGCTCCCTGGGTGGGGTCCTCAGGGAGCGCTGTAGCCCCAGCCCAGCCTTTGTCTCTGCCTCCCGGCTCCCCGAGGAGAGCAGCTTTGCTCCCCTGCCAGCTCCCCATGACCTCCCCTCATCCAGTGCAGCAGCAATGGGCCTGTGACCAGGGCCAGAGACCTCTGAAACCATGAGCTACAGACAGAGCCTTGAGCTTCACGCTGGCTTCCTCAGTGCCTGGTCACAGCAAGGGAAGCTAACACGGCATCTTACTGTGGCTCTGACTGGGTCTTCCTGGGGATTAGTGACGATGAGCCTTTTTCACACCTGCTGGCCCTTTATATCTGTCTCCGGAAAATGGGCACTCAGCTCCCGTGCTGGTCTTTCAGGCAGGTTGATGTTGTTCTTCACTGTTTCGAGTAAATGAGACGAGCTTCCCAATTGACAGAGTCGTTAATGGTGACATGTGCCTCACACCAAGTGATCTGCAGATCAATGCACCCCGCTCACATCAGAGAGACAGTTATTTAGGCAAGTAGAGAGAGCAATCTTCCATTTCATGTGGAGCTGCAGCATTTCCGTTGTCAAGGACCTGTCCAGCCAGGAGAACCAAGCTGGAGGCATTGCATTCGCTGCCCTTCCTGGGCCTATTGGACCTCTCCACTCTGAGAGTTCCATTCACTTCTCTCCTGTGCATTGTAAATACAGTTGTGTGTCAGCTATGTCTATGTGTAAAGCTCACAATTTTATAATCATATGTGCACGTGTTTGTACACACACCTGCACATCCATACATGTAGCTGTTTCTAATTTATACCAATATCAAGTTTGCTTCCAACCTTTTTATTATCACATTTCTAGTTCTATGGCATATGCTTATCAATTTTATGGCAGAAGTTTTTCTTCTGGATTGCATTAGGATGATCCTTATGCAGCGTATCAACATGTGGTCATCCATTCATCTTACTGTGGCTATTTGTGTTCTTTTATTCTTTTCTCTTTTTTCACTCATGCTTTTGTAATTATTATCACATTAACATTACACACACACACACACACACACACACACACACACTGGTGCCTCAGTTCACAACCGCTTCTGTTCATGAGCAATTCGGTTTGCAAACAGAAACATCTGCAAAATCTCGATTGCACTTTCAGTCTCCGCATCAGGTGATGAACAGCACCGTGGGCATCTTGCCGGAATTGTGGAAAGAATTGAGTTCGTGAATGAGGGCCTCTGTATGCATGAAGATGCCTCAGACGTATAAACCTAGAAGTGGCTTGTGGTAAGCTTAGAGATGTAGCACCAAAACACTGACAACACGGAAATGTGATCAGAAGAATAGTGAATTCTAATTTTATTGGTTCATTCCAGGAAGAAACCTTTGGTTTCACTGATTTTTCTCTATTTCTCATCTCTTGGCCATGTACATGTGTTTGTGTGCCTGTATGTTTGCTTATCATTTCATTTCCTTTGTTCTACTTACTTTGAATTAATTTGCATTTTTAAAAAGTTTTTTAGGGCTGAAGGTGCAGCTTTGCGGTGGAACATGTGGTTAGCTGTCCGAGGGCCTGGGTTTGATCTCCAGCAATGCAAAAAACTTTTTTCAAAATGTAACATTTAGATCTTTAGAAGGTTCCTATTTTCTTTTTTAAAATTAAT